CATTAAATTGGCAAGATCCTCGGACTCTAGAATGTGATTCAGAGATCCAAAAGATTATTCATTATCAAAAGCTAGCTAATCAATTGCCAGATTCCTTTGCTGACCCGACCAAAGTAACCAAATCGTACATCCCAGCTTGTAATGCACCAGTACGAATAGCTGTCCCAACGGGACAGACCCAAGTTGCTACAGAGTCTGCACCACGTCTCAAACGGGGCAGACCTCTCGGTTCCAAAGATAAGAATCCCCGGAAATCAAAGAAAGGTGCAATAACCGAAACCGGGATTCCTGCAATATCAGACATAGCCGCGGCTGAGACTCAATCTAATGAACCCTCAATGGAAGTTCGGGACGCCGAATCTCTAGGTTCAGAAGATAACAATGAGATCTCCATCAATTACAATATGTCCGGAATACAGTGGAATCGAAAAGAAGTCGACTTAAATGCACTCTTTGCATACAAAGTAGCACTTGATGTTGCGCTCACGCAAGAGGATCTAGAACCCACGTCAATAACACAGTGTACACATCGAACAGATTGGCTAAAATGGAAAGAAGCCATAAACGTGGAGTTAAAGAGTCTCAAACTCAGAAACGTGTTCGGTCCGATCATCCGGACCCCATCACACATCAAGCCAGTGGGCCACAAATGGGTCTTTGTGCGCAAAAGGAACGAACTCGGTGAAGTCGTTCGATACAAAGCACGGCTTGTAGCACAAGGATTCTCACAGAGACCCGGAATCGATTATGAGGAGACTTATTCTCCAGTGGTGGATGCAACAACATTCCGATTCCTCATAAGTCTGGCCATAAGAGAAAATCTGGATCTGCGGTTAATGGATGTTGTAACCGCATATCTCTATGGGCCCCTGGACAACGAAATATATATGAGACTCCCAGATGGCATTGAACTAAAAGACAAAAATGCATCTCGAGATCAATACTGCATCAGGCTGAACAAATCCTTGTATGGACTGAAACAAAGTGGGCGTATGTGGTACAACCGCCTCAGCGATTACCTCATCAAAGAAGGCTACAAAAATGACCCCATCAGTCCATGCATCTTCATCAAGAAGTACTCAAACAAAGGATTTGTAATCATAGCAGTATACGTGGATGATCTAAACATCCTCGGAACATCTGGTGAGATCTCCCAAACAGTCGACTGCTTAAAAGCAGAATTCGAAATGAAAGACCTAGGCAAAACAAAGTACTGTTTGGGATTACAACTTGAGTACATCAAAGGAGGAATCCTTGTGCATCAATCGGCTTATATCGAAAAGGTACTCAAGCGATTTAATATGGACCAAGCTCACCCATTGACCAGCCCAATGGTAGTTAGAAGCTTAAGTGATGACCCTCTTGGTCCCAAAAAGGATGATGAAGAAATCCTTGGTCCTGAAAAGCCATACCTCAGTGCTGTAGGAGCGTTAATGTACCTGGCTAGTCACACTAGACCAGACATATGTTTTGCCGTGAACCTCCTCGCTCGATATAGTTCATCTCCAACTCAGAGGCACTGGAACGGTATAAAACATCTCCTAAGATACCTTCGAGGTACTCAAGACTTAGGACTCTTCTATACTAACCAAAATAAAGATGGGTTAGTCGGCTTCGCCGATGCAGGATATCTATCAGATCCGCACACTGCCAAGTCTCAAACTGGCTACGTTTTTACGCATGGAGGAACAGCCATCTCTTGGAGATCAATGAAGCAGACACTCACTGCCACTTCATCAAACCATGCTGAAATCCTAGCCATTCATGAGGCTAGTAGGGAATGCGTCTGGCTGCGCTCCATGACTCAGCACATCCGCAGAGATTGTGGTATGGACGAAGACACACAGCCCACGGTGATGTATGAAGACAACGCGGCATGCATAACTCAGCTCAAGGAAGGATATATCAAAGGAGATCGGACGAAGCACATTCTACCGAAGTTCTTCTCAACCTCAGACTGGCAGAAAGACGGCACTCTCAGCGTTCAGCAGGTCCGATCCAGTGAGAATTCAGCTGACCTCTTCACCAAATCATTGCCTACTTCAACACACCGGAAGCTCGTCAAACAGATAGGAATGTATAGACTTAGAGATCTGCAGTGATGCTACAATCAGGGGGAGTAATGCGTGTTGTACTCTTTTTCCTTCACCATGGTTTTGTCCCACTGGGTTTTTCCTGGTAAGGTTTTAATGAGGCAACATTCCCCAGCGCATTATCGAGATCCCGATTGAGTAGCTGACCCGGTTCACTCGTCCAAGGGGGAGTGTTATAACACATATCATATATGGACTCTTATACCGGCCCATTAGGCCCATCAGGGCATTGTACTTAACCTAGATTCCCTATGTACTCTATATATACATTCCAGTGATTAATAAAGTTTCTAAGTTTTCACAACAAATCCTAATTAATCAATCCTTTTTTTGTTTAATATAACATTTTCAAATTTTTAGGGATTTACTTCAAATTGTATATGCAAATATTATCCATATAACATTATTGTCCATAACGTTACATAACTATTTACTGTAAAACAAAATTCGTTATAAACGCAGAAAAATTTCAAACCGACATACTAAAATTCAAATACAACTTTATGTTAGATAAATACGCATATCAATACGTTACCAGAATTTCATATTTCATAATAGTATTATGTTTGTTAATGAACATCATCATATACATGTGTTTTCCAAAAGCTTCGTGTGAATGTGATGTGTTGGTCGATTTAATTGTGGAATCTTTTTGTAGTTTGAAGTGCTGGAGAGTTCTTGCCTGACCATGTCTCCGTATGTCACTTTTTTTTTGTAATTCGTCTATCCCAAGAACAAATAACACAATAGAGATAGTTTTGTGATAAACTAGAATATGTCTTAGTATCGTTTTAATTTGATAACGTAAGTTTTTTGTAAATGATGCTAAATTAATTTCTAGTAAAAATATTTTGGAGGTTTTGACGTGTATTAAATTTTGGATAGTTTCGGTGGGTCGTGCATTATGAATAGATGACATGTGTGAAAATCTATAAAAGGGTGGTGACAAATGATGACAAATGACAACTATCCCAATTAATGAAAATTATACAGATAAGGTGTAGTTTATTTTAAGATTATTAACATATGTAGATGATTCTATACCAAATAAAGTTATCAAAGATTTATTGATATCCAAGGATAAGAGCCACAGATTTTTGTTAGCATTTCCGGTAGATCGATAGATAGATGGAAACCATATTAACGTTTTGCATCAACCATTCACTAGCTAGCTCATTACAAAATCTACAACGGAAAAGTTAATTGTTAAATTGCATGTTTGCGGATGGTCATACTTTAGTCTAGACTCTAGATATATGGTTAGAGACTTTAGAGTATATTGAAACCAACATTAGCTTCCATTGGTAAATATAAAATGTAACTGATCACAGATTCGAAAGTAAACCCATTAGTTAGAACGCAATTAATATTTGAATGAGAGATGGTGGAATGTCTAACACGTTTACTCTCACGATATTTATGTTCGTGTTCAAAAGGGAGATTAAAGGTTCCTACATTAGTCTTCGTATATATTGATTGAATTTATTTCTCAAGAGTACCCTCGTTTAGAAAATATATATAAATCGGGAATCGTTCAACTATGGTCAGAGATCAACTATAAGTTCATAGACCATTTCTTTTCTGTTGTGAATGAAATCTAGTTTTAGGTCAAATTATTCGTTTTTGGTTTGGATTGGGTTAGATTTCGACCTGGAGAAGGTTTGATGCATATGTGAGTTGAAAATATTTGATTTTGGTCTGGTTTCAATATCAGTTATGTATGATGAAAAATGTTTATTTTATAAAACTGTACTAATGGTTTTTGACTGTATGTATATCAAATTACTCTCTCCGTTTCAATTGTAATTAGTAATTTTTGTTGGAATATAAAATCTTTTGAATGTTATTTATATCATCCTTATATTAAAACGTTATGCATAAACATATTCTTGTCGAAGACGTTATATAACCATTTGCGCGATAAAAAAAAATTCCGTTAAAAACGTAGGAAATTTTTAAACCGGTATCAATATATTTGAATTTGAATCAAATATGGTAGTATGTTTGCTAACAGAGATTTATGTTTGCTAATGAAAATCATATGCTATTGATGATAAAAATGAAATCTATGCTTTGAGAAGCAAGATGCTTAGTTGCATACATCATCATTATTGTGAAACTTCGCAGATGCCTCACTAACTCTTATAAGTTAACTTTTATAACCAAATTTTAATCTAGTGAATATTACACGAAGTAATGAAAACTGAAATATGAAAATGAATCCAAGGCATAAATCATTGGTTAATTAAGCTGGGACTCTTTAAAAGATAGACACATCACACATGCAACGAGTTATGTGGCACCATATACTAGAAGATGGTCATCTTTGGTCGGATTTAATAGCATGATTTTCTACCCAAACAATATCCGATTTTAACATTTCCTGGTTCGTTACACTCCTTAATTAGTCTAGTTTCCAATGAATACAAACATTCAGAAACTCCCCACAAGCATTCTCCAGAAAATCAAAGATACCATAATACTATCAAAACAAACCATAGTTTTGACCAACCTTGCTTCATAACCGATTTTCTCATCCTACAATAATCCGTTTTAAACGCTTAGATACTCAAACGAAACCTTAAAGAATTTCCTACACAAAGAAGAAAACAAATCTGAATTTCCTAAAGTATATCTCAAGTTATGATAAGATTAATCGAGGCTAAAAGCACACCAAACATACCCAAAAGCACCTATCCACATCCATTAACCTCCTCAGCCTTACATTCACAATCCTTATCTCCACACCGTCGATAGATTTAGATCTAACGGTTGAAATTCAAACCTGAGAGGATACGCCGATCCGAGTAGTCGCTGTATTAACCAATCAGAGCAAAGGAAGAAATCTCTGTCTCATATCACATTTGACTATATAAACATTTCCGTAGTTCTCGTCGTCTTCATCAGAAATTTCTCTGACGCATATACAATTTCCATAGAAAGCTCTTTTGAGAGAATCAGTAGAGAGAGAGAGAGAGAGATGTCGGGAGAAGAAGACAACGTCGCAACGAAGGTTGATTCAGGAGATGCTGAAGCGGCGGTGACTACACCGGCTGAGAAGAAACCGGCGGCGAAAGGTGGTAAAGCAAAGAAGACCAAGGAAGTTAAGGCGACGAAGAAGCCTGCATCGAAGGCTCCGAGGAAGAAAAGCACTTCTTCTCACCCTCCATACGAAGAGGTTTTGAGATTCGTTTCGATCTGTGCTTTTCAATTTCGAATTTTCGATTTTCGGATTCGTAATTTTGGATTTTGATTCATCGATGCAGATGATTAAGGACGCAATCGTGACGTTGAAGGAGAGAACTGGATCTAGCCAATACGCGATTCAGAAGTTCATCGAGGAGAAGCATAAATCGCTTCCTCCTACTTTCAGGAAGCTTCTCCTCGTGAATCTGAAGAGACTCGTTGCTTCTGGGAAGTTGGTTAAGGTCAAAGCCTCTTTCAAGCTCCCCTCCGCTAGATCCGCCGCAGCTCCGAAACCGGCGGCGACTGCTCCGGCCAAGAAGAAGCCAGCAGCTTCTGCGAAACCTAAGGGCAAAGCTTCGGCTCCTGCTAAAGCCAAACCAGCAGCCAAAGGAACTAAGAAGCCGGCTGCAACTGCGGCTAAGCCTAAGGCAACAAAGGCTAAAGTCACTGCTGCTAAACCTAAATCGAAGACCGTCGCTGCTGTGTCCAAGACGAAAGCTGTTGCTGCAAAGCCAAAGGCAAAGGAGAGACCAGCTAAAGCGTCTAGGACTTCGACTAGGACATCTCCAGGGAAGAAGGCTGCTCCTGCCAAGAAAAAAGCGGCGGCTGCGGTAAAGATTACTCTGCCAATAATGAGGGTGAAGCCTATGCCTATGAAACCTCCGGCGAAAAGGTCTTCGACGAGGAAGACGAAGAAGTGAAGAAGATGGGTGTAGGATATAGTGGGGGAAGATTGAATACATGGTGGTGGTAGCTTCTCTAGGGGTAGTCTTGTATAATTGAATCATCCTTGAAGGAGCTTGCTTTCCAAAGTTTTTCTTTTTCTTCTTCTTTGTCTTCTGGTTTCTTCTTGAGACATCATTATCTTGTAATTTTTTTGGTTTGTTTGAAATTAAGCTTTAATCAATAGCTAAATGTGATGGTTTCTTTGTTCTTTACTTCTCCAAAAACTGTCCTTTAAGTTTATGGATTCACAAGGTTTGCTGAGATATGCTTCTGTATAGGTTAGTGTTCTTGAATGACTATGAAGTAATGTATGAATGTGTTTTAAGGTGATTCAGTTTCTTTCTTGTTGTTTCATTGCTTATGAGAGAATGCTAATAGGATATTGTTGTGTCTTCTTCAGATGTGCTTTGAAGGAACTGGTCTCTCTTAAGAACAAGCAGCATTGCAAAGATAAGGTGAGATTTCATACGTTTTCTACTGAACCATATAATGCATTTGGTACCTTAAAACATCTCTTACATTCAATGTTTTTTTTGCCATTAGCTTGGTATTGCTTGTGCAATTCTCTTTTGGTTTCTGCTTTGAAGTTTTCTGACTAGTACCAAGTTAGGCATTGCCCATTCTCTCTTTGTTTAGAGTCATTCACTTTTGTTTGATCGTTTTTAGGAGTGTTACATAAATGAATTTTTGTGACATACCAGGAAATAAAGCTACGAAAACTTGTGCCCTTCTCTATCTTCCTCTCTCTGACCTTGGTGTTTCTTGGAGATACTGTTTCAATCTTTCCACTTTCTGAATTGAGTATTTGAGCTCCTGTTGAATATTGAACCTTGAAGGAGAAAGAACAATGTCTTTCCATATCGATCCAGCTTCACAAGCAGGGTTTGGTCTATTGTAGAGCTCATAAATAGATTCCGCATTCTCGTTTAACCTTCCTACATTCTTCAAACAGTCTATCTCCTCTGGATCCACTAGCAATGTCTTTTCCTTTTCTTTCCATCCTATCAGCTGCATAAAAACCACATTGTTCACCATGGATTCTCACTTTCATTACTTTAAAACATTTCAGGTTTTACTTTGCATTCAAAGGAGGAAGAAGAGAAACTCAGGTCTAACCTTTGGAGAACCTTCAAGAGCATTGGTGCAGTAAAGCCTGGCATTGTCAACTAAGTTGCAATAGGTAAGAAACGCATCCGCAAACCTCTTGTGAGATCTTAGCTGAGATCTTACCCTAACCGCTCTTCTACACATTATTGCTCTCCTGCATATATATATATATATGGTAAAAAACCAAAACTGTATGTTAAGAAAAACACACACTTGTTTAAAAAACTGTTTTGCAAAATCACTTGGAACACTCTCACCTAATGCCTCGAATCACTGCTAAATATGCATCACACACAACTCCAACTAACTCTATTCTGTATGGCTTTCTCTCTTTTCCATCCTCTTGCAGCTGTTGTCTTTCGCCTATGCGTTCCCAATAGTTCTCTATGACATCTCCATTTTCACCAACCTTGTAGCCAGCTCCCATTCTGTAACGATGGCGATGCACATTCCTTGCCATAGTTATGGTCTGAACCACAAACGGTACCCAAGAGAGTGTTCCATCCATTATCACGTCTCTCCCTTCGTTGAGAGCTGTAACGAGCAGTGATGATGCTGCATCTGTTGATGATTGGTGAACCTGTTTTTATTTCCATTTCACCATCAAGAGTTTCACAACATTCTGTGGATATTGAAATATCAAAGGTAATATGCTTTTTTGGGGGGGCTCTTATCTTATGTATATATCCATATCTGGAAGAATTACTTAAATTTGATTTGATTCCTTGCAGGTTTTTCTATAAAAGGATTCTTGTTGCACTTATAAGGAAACAAAGAACCTTACGAATTCAGCAGTCTTGATCATATCAACATGGCCTCTGGAGCTTAGAGCTCTGTATATCACATCAGATTCTTTGAAAGCATCGGCTTCGATTACCACAGCATCTGCTCCTGCCCAAAATGGTCTGTTCCAAAGCACACAAGCATGTAGTAAGAAACACCGAACAATGACTAATGTCAGGTAAAGAACTATGTGAAGTTGTTGAATCTTATTTACTCTTTGAGAATGTCTTTTAGTACAGTGCTCTTGCCTGCACCCATACCACCACCCATGAGGAGTAAAACCGGGCTTCGGTCCTTATGTGCAACTGGAGCCATAACTTCTGTACATTCTGAGTCATCAACAGATGCGATCCCCATTGCTTTCATTTCCTCTACCAATGTGTTGAAGACCCTTGCTACTTTCAGATTTTTAGTCACCCTCTCAAACCTCTGTTCCCTATATACCAACCAAGGAACAATCATTTGAGAAGACTCACTGAAAGAAAGCATGACCCGGGATTGCATTATGTTGGTAGACTCACCTCGTAGCCGCCATGACAATATGCTTGAGTTTCTTCTTGGGCTCAACATCGGCACTGAGTATCTGATACAAAGTCCATGAGATGTTTTTGATCTATTAGATTATGATGTTATTAAAGAAAGGATTATGAAGTGTTATCGTTTTTGTTTTCCTGGAGAAACAAACCTGACTAATCATGAGATCCGCATGGCTCCAGTGGTAAGCGAAGTAACTGAGAATACATCTCTCGAACTCCTCAACGAGCTTAATGAAGAGAGAATCAGCATCAGGCTCATCAGAGAAGAAGCTGTAAATGTCTTGCTCGCAGCAATCTGATTTCCTAATGTACTCATTGGCTAATTTGCAGAGATGTGGACATTCTCTCCTGTCCTTGAATCCCATCTGCCGAACTGCAAGAAGAGAATGGACACAAAAACAACATTTTCCTTATAAAGCATCAAAATCTATGATCATGGAGATTTCAAAGAGGATAAAATGTAGATTGATTTATACCGACGTAGTGAGAGAATCTCTCGAGCTTCTCATGGCCTTTGTTTTTTTGAGAGTGTCTGATACGAGGGATGATCTTGGAGTGACGTAGCTTCCTGAGACGGTAATGCAGTGCAACGGCTAAGAGGAAGCCAATGGATGAGATTACCAAAATCTGAGTGAAAGTCGTTGTGTTGTTGTTGCTGTTTAACTCTGGAACACACATTGGTCTGTTTAGCATATGCAAAGGATTGATTTGGTGATCATCAAGAGAAGCCATATGAGATTAAGATTGATGAAACTCTTTAAGTTTGTTTTCTGTTACGAGACAATGTATCTACTTTCTCCACGTGTACTGTACTGTACTAAAATAGCTTTTGAGCCCTATTACTCCGGATACTTCTTGGTGTTTGCATTTTGTGATTTGACCATTTTGTTTTGTTTACCCCAGAATCATCTCAGTCTCCATGTATATGTAGTGTTTTTGCAAGGGTTTATAAAATCTCTTACTCAAGGCTATAACAATAACATAACAAGACTCTTAACATGTTAGTTGATTCTCACTGACATTGTGTATCTGAAAATCTAACATATTGGGAAAATGAGTTAATAAAGAGAAACGCTTTGCAAAGAATGTTCTAAACCTAAATAAAAAACAAAAAAGGAAAAGAAAATAGAAAATAAAGTCTATCATAGGCTTTTTATTTATTTATTCAGGAGCTGTGCAAGTCGTTCTGAAATGGCCAGCCTGATTACACCGGCTACATCGAACCACCCGCTTTTGGCGTCCACGGTCTTCTCCTTGGCTTCTTCTCTTCCTTGGCCGTGGCTGTTGTCTTAACACCTTAGGTGGTCTTATCACAGACTCCTCACCACTTTCTACGTCAGGTTCTGTTTTTCTCCACATGGTTTTGTCTGGAACTGGATGTATGGTTTCTGCGTAAGTTCGCCGGTAATTTCCCACGGTGAAGTAACTCTCAGTGTACCTGTAAACGTTCTCTCTGATAGAGATGAGTACTGCAACTGCGTGGCTACAAGGCAAACCGTATAACTGCCATCCACGGCACTCACAGCTACGGAATCTAGTATCAACTACCATCGATTTTCCTTGGTTGGTCACGACCACCTCGAATTCTGATTCGTTTAGTTTGTGAACTTGGTGCGCACGGGAATGTTCGATAGCCTCAAAGACTCGTCTCTCAGCAGATGGAACAAGCATGCCAGACCACTGCATGCTTGTTTCACGGCGTTCATTGAACAAAGTCATCAGTTGTCGACGGATACACTCCATCATCTGGATTATAGGGAGACCTGAGGAATCTTGAATCCAACCGTTGAGTGACTCTGTAACATTTGCAGTAACATGTCCAAACCCTATTAGTTTAAACGTGGTCCATAAATGGGTCTCGATGGTGCGGAACCACATGCCAGCCTCCTGGGATTTCTGTGAGATCTCGGTGAGTTTTTCACCAAACTCGAACTCGGTGTAACATTTTGCTGCTTCCCAAAAAAGGTTCACAAGATCAGAGTTGTTGCACTTACTACGGAGGCATTCTGTGAGATGATGGATAGAGAAGCCATGAAACGACGTTGGGAAATTAGCTTCGACTCCATCAACAATGGGTTTCTCCATGTTAGATAATATTGTCAGCTTTGGCATGTTTTCGGAGTTAACTTCAAGAAGCTGACGCAGCTCTGAGAGGAACCACTCCCAGTTACTATCATTTTCCTCGGTTATAATCGCGAAAGCCAAAGGAAATATTGCACCATCTCCATCAAACCCGGTGGCAAGTAGCAGTGTCCCTAGATATTTGCTCTTCAAAACAACTTTGTCCAATGCAACGAGAGGCCTACAAGCGTTAAGAAAACCAACGATTGATGCCTGGAAAGAAATAAACAACTGTTGAAAGCTCCCATCAACAGGGCTTCCATGTACCACAGCTATGCTCCCAGGGTTTGTTCTTTTGATTTCATCACAATATCGAGGAAGAAGGCGATAATCTTCTTCGAACGACCCACGAACAGCAGCCATTATCCGTTCTTTCCCTCTCCATGCTTGCTTGTATGATAGTGTGATTCCATGAACTTGATGAATCTCCTCCAGTATCTCCTTAGGTTTGCATTGAGGATTTACTCTCAGCCTTTCTTTCACAGCCTCAGCAACCCACTGAACCGAAGCTTGATGGTGACCAAGGTGTAAAATACCACTACATGTGTGACTCCCGTGAATAGTCCTTATCGTAAAGGTTGGTAAACCAGGAAGCTTGGCACAGTGAATCCTCCAAGGGCAACCCTCACTAGCGCACTTTGCAGTGAAACGTGTTTTGTCAGATTTAACTGTCTGCATCTCAAAGCGCAAGGCAATCGCTGCATCTCTCAATGCTCTCCTACAGGCATATACATCTGAAAATTCCATACCAACGACCAAGTTGTGATCAGGATCTGTAACAAGAGACCGGGACTGAACAACAGGAGGAGCCAACTCTAGCTGCTGAGATGGGCTTATGTCCAGGCCAGGTATTGGATCCCTATTCATGCAATGACCCACCGCCAGCTGTAAGTTATCATTGAGATCGTGAGAGACTACCAAAGCTAGTTTATCATTCTCTGAAGTTTCTGAGTCATCATTATCAGGAAATGAGAGGTCAAAAGCATGGTCATAGCTTTCGTTTTGGTTGTTATCCTGAGAATCAACCTCATCTTTTCCTTCCAAACACTGCTCTTCTTCATGTATTTCTTCACTATGAGTCTTTGAGTTTACATGAGACAGTGCACGTTCCTGGTTGTGGTTCCAAACCTCATTCTGCTCCCGAGAAACACCTATCTGAAGGTTGGTCTCGTGAAGCGGTTCCAAAGCAAAACTGTAGTCATGGGTAGGAAACAGTTCACTGTTCTGTCGAGCTTCCACAAAATGCTCCTGCCTAAACGAGTTGTTGTGGTTCCCTGCCATCATCAGCTCGTGATCTGCCATTTCATCACAGTAACAGCAAAAATACTGGCCAAGACACTATCTGTTCCAGTTCCTGACTCAAGTACTATCTTTTATAGACCTGCAAACAAAGAAAACTATGTATGAACAACAACAAAATAAGACTTTGCAAGAAGTGAGAGTATTAACAAAGAGGAAGTTCAAGCAAAGAGCAAGTTCCCATATAAAACTAAAACAGCTATAACCATAAGCCTAAGTCCCCAACCCCAAAGTAAAGTAACTAACTTGGAAGCATCTATCGCAGGAAAACACAGATTGAAACTTATGCCCCATTGATTCTCGTTCTCGTTCTCGATAGAGAAACACCATCCAGCCACCAAAACCCAATTCAAAAAGTTCACAAATTGATAACACAAACACGGATATAAAGAGATTACTGTGTGCGAGAACAAATTCCCACACAAAATTCGACAGAAAACAAACAAAGGGATTCAAGCGAAGCTCGCAAAACAAAAAGGATTCAAGAGAGATGGAGAATCGAAACTCACGAACCAAGCGGAAACTGCAGACACACGAGGCGGAGAGGGATTTGGGGAGATTCAAAGAGGAGGGAATTTGGCGGGTAAGGAAGGAAGGAAGGAAAAGGGTTGAAGAGGAAAATCTGGAGAAAGGAGAAGGGCAAAGAAGGGATCCGGCGATAGAGATTTTTGATTTTGATGGGACGAAAGAGCACCTCGTTGTTTCCTCACACTATTAGGTTTTATCTGGGTATTTTAGTCATTTTCGCTTTCCTTTTTTTTTTTTTTTTTCTTAAATAAAAATAGTCGTAGCCTCGGCATATAATATACAGTTAAATAATCTCCTTTGACCATGTGTGTATCAGTGTATGCATGCAGGCAGTTATTTACTAAAGTCGTATTTTAGGACATAGATCTTTGGGTTCCACATCGGTTCTTTCTTTTACTTTTTAGGGTTTCTTTCTGATTCAAGTCAAAAATCTTTTAAACTTGTTTCACATATCCTCTTATGTTAATATAAGTAATTAGTAATATCCCCTAAATATAGCTAAGATCACATATCCTTTTTTTTTTTTTTTTTTTTAACTTTTTCCTTCTTCTTACGAACTAATTTTTTTTTTGTTTTCATTCTTTCGTATTAGTGGGTTCTCTCTGATTAGTGATTCCAGGCGAGATCAAAAGCATCTGCGAAATTTCAGAATTGATTTACGTTGTCGATTTTACCCGGATCTGCTTGATTTCAATTGAATTGGTAAATCTCTTTTTTCCCATCTTTCTTTCTTAATTTTTGTAAAATCGCGTTGTGATTGTGTAGGTTTAACTTTGAAAAAATCTACTTTTGTGTTTTTGCTTTTGTTCACTTCGACATCCATTAAAATCCACTGCAAACTCAAATCTATATGTAAGTCTTAGTATTGAATAATATTTGATGTTAATTAGGATTTAAAAATCATAAAAACCAATAACATAGGATTTTGCTTGGATTTCCAAATTCAATTAAAATTAAAAAAATCCATGAATCCTCACCTTTTGTTTCTGCGTTTTCTCTTAATATTACTGCAAACAGTTAGTACTTGCCGTAATTAAGTTCCCTTAAAATGCATCATTGATACTGAGATTTCACTGATATTACTTGTCTGATTCTCTTGTTTTCTTCACTATATATGTATGTATAGTAGGATCAAAAAAGCATCTGGTGGGGATTAAAAAGATGGCAGAGGCTAATAATCTCCCAAACAGTGAGATGGTGCCATCATCTCTTAAGGAGGTTACTTCGATTCTTCGTGTGGCTCATGACGTACATCCCACTCATCCTCGGATTGCTTATCTATGTGAGTTTGAAACAAATATCATCATCATCATCCTCGTGATCACTTAATATCTCTCTCTCTCTCTCTCTCTATATATATATATATATATATATATAACAAAACCTATACTTACGTGCATGGATGTTTCTATCAGGTGTGTGGTGCGCTTGAGGAGGTAATAAGGTTTGAGTCCATCATAGTTGCACCTGGTGTTGCCGGTTTTAGGTGTTCCCTCAAGTTTTGGGTTGAGGCGGTATGCATATATATATTATCATCTTCTTCTTCATTTTATTCACTTTTTGAGGAGGTTTTGGTTCTGTTTTCAGTTTTACTCGTTATAATAATAGACCTTTGCATCATTATCATCAATTTGACTTGTGTAGAATGGTGGTGATGCAATTTGGAATGGAAAATTGCGGCCTAGTGATGCACTTTTTTTTTTTTTTTTAACATGGTGCAACAATATTCAATTAACATATGCATCCTACATATTTTTACCACCTACATTCGTATTTTCGAATCCATTCATTACTCTCTTCTTATTATCAACAAGATAGAGTTATAAGGGACGTTGCTTTTTTTTTTTTTATAATTGAAATTAGGAGAGGGAACAAAGGGCTTGCCTCTCTGGCCTACCCCTAGAGACGGCGTCCAAGTGTCCAGATGTTTCAGAGTCAGAACTAACCGGTTTGTGCTTAGTGGAAATATTGTTGTGTTCAGATTGATGGTTTTTCTCTATATATATACATATCTTTCTTTATGAACTTATATATATAGAAACATATTACATCCTTCTATTTGTCTTTAGGGTTCATCTTCTCACAAATGCATGCCTAGCTGCTCTTTCTCTCTACAAAGTCTTGGAACTTCTTTCAAAAGATGTGCAACTGCCTCCTTTGTGAGAAGATGAACCCTAAAGACAAATAGAAGGATGTCGTCGTCGCGCGCTAGCGAGTTGATTAATAGAATTATCAAAATAGCTGCTCACACTTGTTTCTGTTCTTTGGCTTTGGAAGCTCACAACGAAGTGAAACGACTAGCGCAAATCTTTAGGCCATACAACATTATTCCCAACGATCCTTATAGTGAGAAATTGCCTGAGGTTATTCCAGAGATATACTCTTTCTCTTTTTTTTTTTTTTTTTTTTTTTTGTTTCTCTTGGGGTTCTAAATGTGTAGTTATAGTCTAAAGAACAACTATATATCATATATACTGTCAATTTTGCAGATAAGAGCTGTTGACAACGCACTTCGTGGCCGTCGGATCTTCTCTAAGGATGTTAATGTGCGTAAATAAACTCATCCCTTGCCCGACCCATAAGCCGGGATCAGCCCGTGGATACCGATTATGTATATATTGGCTGTTATCTTATATTTGACATTTTTACATTTAGCAATTTCAACCTAAGCTATTTAAACTTTTAAGTTCTTATATTATTATTGTTATTGGCTTTTTGTTGTTGTTAAAACTCCTTATATAATCAGTTATGCTGTATCATCGTATAATAATTCATATAAAATCACATATAAATTAGTTTCACTTTCTTCCTATTTGCTCAACCTTCATCTTTTTCAAGAGCATTATTACTATTTTTTCACTCTAACACATTAATATGCTTCTAAATAAAATGGTCACAAAGTTTTTTATAGAGGAAATACGATTTAATTTTAAGTGTAACCCGTTTTCAATGTTATTCCAATTAAACATGTACGCATTGATTTGGAGAACATAATTAATATATTACGTAATCATATACATATATGAAAATTTTATCTGAATAGTAGCTAAAATAACTCACTTAATTTGTTATTTACTCACATCTTTGAAGCAATACATATATTATTCGGAAAATATTGTAACAGGCGATGAGAACGATGGTAAAGTTGATTTTCCCTACTTATTTTTTTTCTTGATCAAAGCTACACTCTTGTAAATTTAAAAAAAAAAAAAACATAGAAAACAAATTAAAGACGAGTACAATGAAAGAAGAAAGACAATATGTAAACTAATTTTCTCATATATATATATATAAATAATGTTAGTTATTTCAATATTCTTTGCAATAATTCCTAAGTATGAGAATTAAATCTTCATCACTTTGATATATGATCTCATCTAGAAATCATTGAAAAATTACCAGTTTCATTCAACTGTTGTTCTTTGTTGTGAATCAAGCACAAAAAACAATAAACTTAAGAGAAAAATTACAAATTGAGGCAAACACCCATTTAGAGTTTTCTTATTATTTGTGTGAATGAATAATTACAAACCATAAGCTTTGTATTTATAACCCAAAAATCCGACTCCCAAATCCACTAAAAAATGAAAACCTAAATCTAGCCTAATAAGGAAACCATAGGCTTCGCCCGCCCCCCTCCCCTTAGGCATCTGCATAAAGAGTGTAAAACGAGGCTAAGATGATAAGTACCGATCTAGTAAAAGCGAGAACGATTATGTTTCTAACGAAAAAACTAAACTTTACCTTCTGTCGAGTGGAATCGTTTCCCTGAGCTGTTTTTATTTCTTGTTGGCTCAAATTGCATGTCCTCTAACAGGATTTCTTTCCTTTGGTTTCAGTCTCCGTATGTTTCAGCAGTGTTGCAGTTATGACTGGGGATGGAGTCAGAGCCGTGCTTAATGAGCAAAAAATAACGCATTTGCTTTAGGCTCCTTTAATATTAAACAAGTTTTAAGGCCCCTAATTTTTGTATTTTTATTTAGTATATTGGTTGGTGTCCAAAAAAAAGAAAATTAGTATATTGGTTAATATATATTTTTATGTTATTTTTTGTGGTTGAAAATTTATTATAAATTAATAAAAAACATTAGCACTTTATAATATCTTATAAAATAATATTTAAATCTGATTTACAACTTATATTTTTTTAGAAATAATTAGAGTAAAATGGAAATTTTTTCTTGTCATTTGCCTTAGGCCCCTAATACTCTAAGCACGGCACTGGATAGAGTTACAAGTGAAACAGATTCTTCTGCTGGAAAACATTGAAATTAAAGATCAAAATTCATGATGCAGGTATTAAACTTAGCGAGCTTAAAACTTGTTACACATATCCTCTTATGTTAATATATAAGTAATTAGTAAGATATATCTAGTTAAGATCCCCCAGTTTTCTTCATAGTCATTCACTCATTCTAATCATCTGGCGATAAAGTATTAAAGATACATGCATGCAAGCCTGAGGCTAGCTGATGTTCAGTATAGTGAGATTTCACCGATGTTACTTGCCTGATTCCAACTTTCTTCACTATAGATAATATAATCAAATTAAGCATGCATATATCTGGTGAGGCTAATTACCTTCCCGATCAGAATGTGAGATGGATTAGCTCTTCAGGTGGTTTCTTCGATTCTTCGTGTGGCACACAAGTTACATTACATCTCACCCATCCTCGGATTGCTCACTTATAGTGAGTTGGAAACAAACATCATGGTGATCGACTGATCGTGATAACACATATACGTGCATGGATGCTTCAATCAAGTGTGTGTGGTGCGCTTGAGGATAAGGATTTTTTTTAAATACTTCTCCGGCCTTACCCTAGAGACGGCGTCCAAGCTTCCACAAGTGCCCAGGGTCAGAGCTGACCGGTTTGTGCTTATTAATAGAAGTATTGTTCATTACATTCTTATATTTGTCTTTAGGGCTCAACTTCTCACAAGTGCATGCCCAGCTGCTCTTTCTCTCTACAAAGTCTTGGAGCTTCTTCGAAAGATGTGCAACTGCCTCCTCAGGTGAACCTAATTATAGTAGATAAAATCTTTCTGGAGTACATTAATGTTATAGATCATAATTATCAAAACACATATATATGCTTACTTGTTTCTGTTTTTTTTTTTTTCGTGGCTCTAGATTTTGGAAGCCCACAATGAAGTGAAACGACTTGTCCAAGTCTTTAAGCCATACAACATTTATCCCAAGTCCCAGCGATTCCTTATAGTGAGAGATGTCCTGAGGCTATTCCAGAGATATAAGCCCTGTTCGTTTGCTCATTTGTCATTTGCATCTAGATGATTCATCTGGATGAGTCATTTGAATGATGTACATAACAAATGAACAAACGAACATTTAAATGAAAACTTGACAAATGAACAATAAATCTTTATTTGTTTGGTCATTTTAATCTGAATATATTTATCTTTATTTTTATGTTTTAATAGCAAAATTATTAAAATATTTTAACGAGATTTTACGTTTCTGACGGAAAAACAAGATTTTATGTTTTTGACGGGAAAACGAAATTTTACGTTTGTAACGAGCAAACGAAAATTTAATTCTTTAACGGGAAAACAAGATTTTACGTTTATAACGGGAAAACAAAATTTTACATCTTTAACAGAAAACAAGATTTTACGCTTGTAACGGAAAAACAAATTTTACTTCTTTAACGGGAAAACGAGATTTTACGTTTTTGACGGGAAAACGAGATTTTACGTTTTTGACGGGAAAACGAGATTTTACGTTTTTGACCGGAAAACGAGATTTTACGTTTTTGACGGGAAAACGAGATTTTACGTTTTTAACGAGAAAACGAGATTTTACGTTTTTAACGGAAAAACAAGATTATACGTTTTTAACGGAAAAACAAGATTATATGTTTTTAACGGGAAAACGAGATTTTACGTTTTTGACGGAAAAACGAGATTTTACGTTTTTGACGAGAAAACGGGATTTTACGTTTTTGACGGAAAAACAAGATTTTACGTTTTTGACCGGAAAACGAAATTTTACGTTTTTGGCGTGAAAACGAGATTTTATGTTTTTGACAGGAAAATGAGATTTTACGGAAAAACGATACGTTTTTTATAGAAAAATAAGATTTTACGAGAAAATAAAATTTTATGTTTTGATGAAAAAATAAAATTTTATTTTTTTGACGGAAAAACAAGATTTTATGTTTTTGATGGAAAAACGAAATTTTACGGTTTTTAACGAGAAAACAAAATTTTTTGGACTAAGTCATATTCATCCAAATGCTTCAAATTCTATCAGTTGGATGAATTTCAAATTTCTTCATAAATTTATAAGTTATCTAGATGATCCATCTAGATGATCCATCTGGATGAGTCGATTTATATAATTAAACGAATATCATTTGACTGCTTCATCTGGATGATCCATCCAGATGAACAAACCAACAGGCCATACTCTTTTTTTTTTTTTTTTTTTTCTCTTGTGGTTTTCTGTTTAATATAATTTGACTAATGAACAATTATATATACATATGCATAATGTTAATTTTGCAGATAAGGGCTATTGAAAACGCACTTCGTGGGGTCTTCACTAGAGATGTTAATGCATGTGGGTAAAAAAAACTCAGACCTTGCGAGTGAAGCTTGTCCACCAAAAACCCAAGGCCATAAGAAAACAGAAAATATGATTATTGGAAATATATTGCTCGTGGGCAAGCCTGGTGTGTGCTCGCGATGATCACCCCATGAATATCGTATATGAACATCAATTACTATCTTATAGTTGAATCTTTTTTTGTCTTTTTCTTTTTGGCATCTCCAGCTTCAACCTAAGCTATAAATTTTTAACGCATTCTTATTAGGTTTTTTTTTTTTAACTCCTTAAAATCGATTATGTGGAAACATCATAATTCGTACACAATCACATAAAAATCGTGTTTTATTATTTGAAGGAAAGTTAAATTTTGATAAAACAAAGAATAGAGTAAAACGAAAGAAAAAACTATATAAGATGAATGAAATCCACACAAAAACAACCAGTAGTCTTGCACGGTGATAGCTTAAGCTTTAAGGGATGCAAGCAATGATTTCTTATTATTATTACTGTTTTTTTTTTCTATTGTAGATTTGAGATCTCACACTTAAGTGAAATGACTAGCCCAAATCTATAAGCCTTATAACATAATTCTATTCATTGATGATCACTATATAAGCAGAGTTTTAATGAGGTTAATATACTCTTTTTTCTGGTGGGATTCTCTATTTAATTACCATTTGAGAAAACAATTTTTGTTTCTTGCAAATTCAAGTTGTTGCAACCTCACTTAGTATAACACTACGGGCTTACAATGGCTAAGAAGACATAAGAAATAGTGATGATGAATACATTCTAAACGAGCTTCAAGCTATGTTTGGTTTTCATATAATATAAGCTACCGATTTTTCTGTTCTTAATAGTTGATTAGAAAATTAGTTTTGCATTTGCTGATCAATTTTAATTTGAAACGCTAGCAGGATATTAATGTTTCAAACCAAAGAGAATAGTTGAAATTGTTACAACGTCGAAAGTTTTCAAGTTTCAGTGTACATATTTCTATTGAACATAATGGTGCATATAATACAATTATATCTACACTTTCTTGCTATGTTGAATAATATTGCTTTCTTGCTATATTGAATAATATTGCTTTCTTTCTCTGTGTATTTTTAGACAGAAACTTTGTCAGCCTTTACAATCATATTCATAACAACTCTATGCAAACAACCTTTGTGCTACACATCCAATTCTTTATATACAGATAAATCTTCCAAACTCACTTGTAACCATTGGACTATGATCATCATTAGTAACTTGGTCTGTTTCCTAAGAGACTGAGATCTGACTCATAACATTTGTATTAGCCTACAAATAAAAAGCGTCTTTAGAAACCTTTCCAAATTTAGGAAGACTTTTTCTGAAATGTTTTTTTTTTACTGGTGGACTCAGATATTTATTCAAAATTGTTTATAAGCAGGAAAATGATGATATCTGAGTCTCAATGAATTTGTACACCTGCAAATATAAAATGTTTTTAGGAACTTTTTTCTTCTGCCTACACTACAATTCATCACCTAGGTATTGAATGATCATTTTTTGGATAAAGTGATGGATAAATTGTTAGGATACTACAAAAGATATGGTGCAAGTATTTGGGTATCCCACACAACTTTCAGTATCAACAAGAGAAACATCAGTGACAAATGTTTTTTTTTGTGTGTGAAATAATCAAGACAATTCTTATTTCTTATTTTTCATGTTCCCACGATACATATCTGAGCTAAAGAATAATTAATACAATCTTATCAAATATGTGTAGAAAGCCTTTAACTTTATAAAAATTTTAAATGTCATATTTTATAATCTATTTTTTTGAATAGTTTAGGATACTATAATAATTGATAAAAAATTCTATTCAAATTTTGTGCACAATCAATCAATTTACTGCTTTTGAAAACAATCACAATATATGGTAATGATGCTTCTTCTATACACTATCATCACATTACGAGTCTCTTGATTTTGCTAACTAGTCTCTTGATTTTGCTAACTAGTCTCTACCCATATATCAGGTGTATGTAGCTTCATTGTTGATTGTTGATTGGTTTGTTAATGGTCTTGCTGATCATGATGATTGGCGTTGAGAAAGGACTCCATGAGGCGCTGTTTGATATTGTGTTGATGCAGCTTCAGTTTGCTCTCGTGTTCTTCACATTTCAACATGGCAAAAAAGCTCATTACTACGGCAGGTACTGGTCGTGGTTTTGTGGTCTTCCATGAGAAATTTGCTGAAAACTACAGATTCTACTCACGCAGTCATTTCATAAAGGCTTTTCAGTTGACAGTGCTCTTGCTCATCTACCACATGTTTGGATTTACACATTTGTTCATCACTTTCTCGATGTGGTTTATGGTGGGGTCATGGCTTTTTGCTCCTTTCTTGTTCAACCCTTCTGGTTTCGAGTGGCACAAAATTTTTGAAGACTGGAAAGACGGGACGAAGTGGGTATATGCACATGATTTTGAGGGAATGGGTGTTCGTATAGAGAAGAGTTAGGAGTCTTGGTGGGAGAAAGAACAAGAACATCTTCGACACACGGGGTGACTTGGTTCTATGCTTGAGATTGTTTTAGCATCACGTTTCTTCATTGTTCACTATGGGCTCGTCTATCAACTCACTGCCTTTGAAGACAATCACAGTATATGGGTAAGTATATGGGTAATGATGCTTCTTATTTACATTATCATTGTATTGTTAGTTTCTTGATCTAACCGGTTCTCTACCCATGTTTCAGGTGTATGTAGCTTCTTTACTGATTGTTGTGATGATTATGCTCATTGTGACGGCAGGTAACTTTTATGACTTAAGTTTATATATATATATATATATATATATATATATATATATACCAAGACTGATTGATGAACTCTGAGTTTATTTTCAATGTATATCATAGTTATTGGGCAAGGAAAATCCAGGCAGGACAAACTCACACTGTGGGTTCAGGACAGTCAAAGTTGCTGCTTTCCTCGCACTCTTGGGAAGCTTCATTGTCATCGCAGCCTTGGGAAGCTTCAAAGACATCTGCATCTGCCTTCTGGCATTCATCTGCATAGGATGGGGAGTAATACTTGTAAGTCATCTCGTTCTTTGTGAGGATTTTCTTGAGATATCTTTATTGTATATCTTGTTGTAACATCTAAATACCTTTGTGTATCTTTTTTTACTGCAGATTGCACAAGCTTGCAAGCCTTTAAGTCAACGTCTAGGGCTCTAGTCATTGGTGAAGAAATTGGCTTGGTGCTATGACGTCTTGATGGTTTTGCTATTGTTTTCACCTGATGGCGATGTTCTCATTTGTGTCAGAGATTCAGACGGGGGTCCTTTTCAACCAAGCTTTTAGCAGAGGTCTAAAGGTCTCACATATACTCAGTGGCAAGAGTTCTGCTTATAAGATGGATTGAAACCAACCACTACTAGTTTATTATATGTTGTTTTATGAAGTTGTAGTACTTGGTATGTTTTGGTTAAATTCGGTTTATGATTTAGACTTTGTGTTTAAGAACAATTGTGGTTTATTTTCGATCTAATGAATGTATTTAGTATTTAATTCTGTATCTCTCTCTGTATCCCAACACTGAGAGAATATGTTCAATCTAATATAACAAGTAGCTTTCTCTTAGCCTTTTGTCAATCTCGAAAATTGTTTTCAAATACCTCATGGATATATTTCTTCCTTTTCTTAACTTGCAAACAGAAATCAATTATTGGTATTTTCGTAATAATTTTCTAAATTATTGGTATTTACTATGTAGCATATGGACTCAAAAAAACAATTCTTGGATTCACCCCATGGGTGGTGAACCTCTTTATTCACCTTTTTTTTCTAACCAATCAAAACATGCCATCTAATTTAAAATAAAAATCAATATTATCTTAATCAAACAATTAAGATAAGTTGACATTTTTATCACAGAAAATTAAAAATTTAATATTATTCAAATTAAAATTCGAATTAATCATTAAAATAGTTCTTTTATTTACTCCCTCTTATTTTAACCATGAAAATAAACTAAATAATTAAATTAATTAAGATAATTTATCAAAATAACACATTTTAAATTTTCTTTTCTAATGGGAGAAAACTAAACCCTAAATTGATAGTGAACCCAAGCATTATATTAAATTTTTATTTATAATATTTTTGATAAACATATATTTTTAACAGAATAATTTTTAATTAAGGTACTTTATCAAAATAGTAAATTTTAAATTTTTTTTTCAATGGGGGAAAACTAAACACTAAATTAGAAATAGTGAACCCAATCATAATATTAAACCTTAAACATTAATCCTTAAATCCTAAATTCTAATTTGGTAACCCTAATAATAAAATATCTATATATATAAAGTAAAATGTTCTCTCTTCTTATGATGCCACATCATTTTCTCAAACTCTAAAATTTTGACACATCATCAATTTATTAATTAATTTATAATTTATTATAATTTGTGTTATTATACTTTAATTCTCTTGGTAACAACTAACTATCATCCATTAATTTAACAAGAATATGAAAAGACACTCTTTATATATTAATGTATTTATTCATTATTATTTTAAATGATTTACTTTATTTATATGATTCGATAGATATGAATAGTAAACCATAAAATTTTAAGATAGCCGGATTTGGATCTAGTTTTGCCAAATCCGAGAAACAAATCTTGGATCCAAAATTTTTAATATCTAAAAATATCTAAATTTATTTTAAAACCGTTATAAAACACTAGAATATAACAAAAGACATAAATTTAAAGAAAATTAGAACAATAGATTATAAAACTAAATGCATATTAACGGGTAAAGAATATTCGCACGAGTTTCAAAAAGCTCGAGTGACAATTATATTATTTTCTATTTTAATTATTTTTGTCATTTGTAATAACATATCATGTAATAATGTAAAAATTAAAATTTCTTTTTTGAAATGACTACTTAAATAATAATATAGAGATGTGAGAATGCATATTTTGTGAAACAAATTGTGGTATCACAAAATGTTAATATGTTCAACCTAATCTTTGAAACATAAAATGGGTGAAGTTCCCCTTAAAAAAATTACACAGAGCTCAGGTTAGAGAGGTGACATTGAGAATGGCTAGAAAAAATAAAAAACATGAAAAAGATAGAAATTTCAACCGGTCCAATATGTTGTGTTTGATTTAACATGTTGCATTTATGAGAGAGAGAACATGAGAGAGAAAAGGAGAGTAAGAGGGAGAGGGAGAGGGAGATGGAGAAGGAGAGGGAGAAGGAGATGGAGAGGGAGATGGAGAGGGAGATGAGTGTAGAGAAAAAGAAAGATTATGAATATATTTCAGAAATACGTTAGAGAATCAAGATATTTTCAAATAATTAATTGTCTATTACATATATTTTTTTCCTGAATACAACAATAAAAAATTGTAGATATTCGAAAATCATAAACCTATATAAATATAAAGATATCTACAAGCTAAATTTGATTTGAAATTTTAATTGATATGTTATTTGATTATTTTCTAAATGTTGTATATAAAATTATTAAATACTATAAATATATATAAAAATTGAAATACAAAATTTAATGAAAAAAATTAATATTGTAGAGTTTTTTTTTAAATATATTAATAAATACAATACAAAATTTCGCGCCAAGCGCGGTTCAGTCTCTAGTATATATATATTTTATTAGAATTCAGGGTTTAGAGATTAATGTTTAGGGTTTAGTTTTTATTTCTAATATTTTTTAAGTTTACAGATTAGAGTTTATAGAATATTTGCATATTATGGTGTAGGGTATACATATTAGAGTTTAGGATTTAGAGATTATGATTTAAAATTTTGAAAATAGAAAAATTATTATATAAAAAATATATGTTTATCAAAAATAAATTATAAATAAATTTTAATATTATGCTTGGGTTCACTATTTCCAATTTAGGGTTTAGTTTTCCCCTAGTAGAAAAGAAAATTTAAAATGTGTTATTTTGATAAATTATCTTAATTAATTTAATTATTTAGCATATTTTCATTGGTTAAAATAAGAGAGAGTAAATCAAATTTTTATTTGAATAATATTAAATTTTTAGTTTTCTGTGATAAAAATATTAACTTACCTTAATTGTTTGATTAACATAATATTGATTTTTATTTTAAATAGGTGGCATGTTTTGATTGGTTAGAAAAAAAAGGGTGAATAAAGAGGTTCATCCCTAACGGTGAACCCAAGAATTGTTCGACTCAAAATCAGAGAAAAAAAAGAACATCTCAGTTATATAAAAAAATTCTAAAAAGGTTTATAGGTAATTCAATAAAACCGGGTCGACCTTTTCATCATACCAAAAGAGAGTTGCACTAATTTAGGCAAACCCACAAAACAAATCGTTGAACAAGTTTGTTTGTTTTTACCGCGGAACAAGGAAGAGTCCTCGTTTTACCAGATTTCGCTCTATTCTCTCTTTGACCAATCTCCACATATCGCTAAGGTAAAAAAAATAATAAAGAAGAAAAGCTAAGTTTTTACGTTTTTGCTTACATGCTCAACATAATGCAAATCTCAGACCAAAGATTCTGAGTTTTGCCCCATTTTTTGCTCCTTATTTTGTGTTTTTGAGATGATGAGTTTCAATGTTCTTCAGGATTCACAATCACCAGTCTGAAAAAATGGATTCATCAACTGTGATATTTGACCAAAAGGTCATTAACGGGTTTGCGGCTGTGCTAACATACGCAGCCTGCGAATGGTTCCTCATATTCCTCATGTTCATCGATGCTCTTCTCTCCTACCTTCTCGTCTGGTTTGCACGTTACTGCAGATTGCAGATGCCATGTTTCCTCTGTTCCAAGCTTCTTCATCCTCTACACTGGAGATTCTTGCTCTGCAGAAACCACAGATCAGAGGTTTCTTCCTTCATGTCATGTCACAATCACGACAACAACCTCGCAGACTGTCGAGGAATGTGCGATGATTGCCTCTTGTCCTTCACCAAAATGACAGGACCGAATCCAGACATGAACAGATTGCTTCTTGGGAAACTAGGTTATGATCTGCTCTCTAAAAGCCATTTTGCTCACCCTAGATCCTGTTCTTGTTGCAATAAACCGTGGAGGACAAGGCACCATACACAGAGACTGATTCGGTTAGGCTCTCGAGGAAGAAACTCCTCCGGAAAACCTAATATTCCTGCTCCAAGGCATCATCTTACACGACGAGGAAGCTCTGGAAGTTTGAAGAAGATGAGAGATCGTAAGGCAACAAGTGGTGCTGAGTATGTCGACGTTGGTAGCCGCAGCGACGGTATGGCTCATGTGGGTTACACAGAGCTGAAGATTCACTCGGATTCTGAATCCGAGTTCTTGTTTTCTGATGATGATGCTTTCCTACAAATGACGGACTTCAATATTGAGCCATCTGAGAAACGTGTTCACAAGTCTCGTTCTCGGACATCGTTTGAAGACAAGAAGATGTCGTCGAATCATAAACAGCCTGCTTTGCGAGTCAACCACGATAAGAACATTCATAGAGAAGATTTAGAAAAAGCCAAATCTTTCAAGCCTGAGCGTCATCTTGTAGGCAAGACTCATCAAGAACGACCTGTTAAATCAGAGGAGCATGAGGCTGTACTCTATGAGCTTATAACTATGAGTGAAGCTCGTCCGTTCTCACTGGGATTACCTCAAGAGGATGATGCAGGAGTAGAAGCACAAAATGGTAATGGTTATATGGCTTTCTAGTGAAACACTTATGTCAAAATCTATGTGTTCATCATGTGATATTGTTCCTTAAATTTGACGGTGTTCCTTGCAGAAACTGAAGCTGAGGCAAGTGGAAACTCGTCTCCTTCTTGTGGGGATTTCTTGAGCCCTTCTGGAGAAAACGGTCCCTCTCGGGAAATCAAGTTTCAAGAGCAGGGTGATTCCGCAGACTTTGCTCAAAACATTTCCGGTTCAGCTGCGAAGATAGAAGAATCTGACGCAGATAATGAGCAAAAAGTCTCTGATCACACAGATGTTCCTGGTTCTGTTGCAGATGAATCTTCAAGTGATGAGGAAAATAGAGTTGAAGAAGATTTCAAGCCTTTGACGTCAAATGAGGATAATGAAAACAATGTTGCAGAGGAATACTTCAGCAATGAAGAAGAAGATGAGGTCAATGGACATTCCGAGCCTTTGATATCAAAAGATATATCTGGTTCATTTGCTGAAGAACAATCCAGTGAGGAAGAAGATGGAAGTAATGGCTATTCGGTTGCAAAATCCCATTCCAGTCATGAAGAAGAGGATGTGAATAATGGAGACTCTGAACCTTTGGCATCAAACAATGAGACTGGTTCTGCCACAGAAGAACACTCTGGTAAAGAAGAGCATGGAGATCATGGAGAGACTGAGCCTTTGGCGTCACCCAAAATCTCCAACGAAGAATCCTCATTAGAGCAGATCGATAAAGATTCCTCTAAGGTAACAGAGACTCATAACACTTCAAATGGATCACCGGAACTAAAGCACTCTGCTTCTGTGGAATCTTTTGTAAGCATTAACAGTGACATCGAAGGGGAAAGTCTTGTTGATATGTTAAAGCAGCAGCTAGATCATGACAGGAAATGCCTTAGAGATTTGACTAAAGAATTAGAGGAAGAAAGGAATGCCTCAGCTATTGCTACAAATCAAGCAATGGCGATGATCACACGGTTGCAGGAAGAGAAAGCAGCTCTCCATATGGAAGCTTTACAGTACCTGAGAATGATGGATGAGCAAGCTGAGCACGACGTTGATGCACTTGAGAGAGCAAACGATGTCTTGGCTGATAGGGAAAAGGAAATACAAGATCTTGAGATGGAGTTAGAATATTATAGAGTAAAGTATCCAGATGAGCCAAGAGAAGAAATTCTCGCTAGCATGGGAATTCTCGAGAATGTAGAAACCAGCGGCACCTCGGCAACTGATGAGACCAGTGAGAAAGTTCCAACAGACACCACACTTCCCGGTTCTCCGGAAATTTGAAAAGAGAACATGTTTCGGAAGCTACATTTTAACTTGCTGGAGGAAGAATACTCAAGAGTTCTGAAATTCCAAGGCCTGAGGCTAGTGATGGTCACAAGCATACAGATACTGCACCAGCATTCATTGCAGAACCATATGGTGAAGAAAGCAATTCCCAACATGGAAAGTGATTCTTTCGAGCACACAGGTAGGGAAAGAACGAGTGGATTACCTTAGAGAATGAGATTTCAATGGTAGGAAAACATTAGAGATACAAAGAGGGAGCTCGTTTTTGTAATAATAGGGAAATTAAAAGGGTAGAATTAGATAAAGACATAGCTCGGCAGCTGGAAGAGTCACACAATATTGGGATTGTGAGAAGATGATTTATTTGCCTGTAATTTAATCATTTATTTTTGTTTTTGGTTATTTATGTGGCTACCTTATTTGTTTATGGAGGACACACCAATCATCTCATTAAAACTATAAGATTTCAGAAACTATATATTTCAAACTTCATTATAACCAGAATCCAAATGAGATTATCCTTTACTACTCAAAAAAAAGAAATCTAATTGTTACTAGACAAGGTAGAAAGACGAATCACATTGATAAGTACCTAGGGATCCACATACTCTTCAACTCACTTCTTGAAGCTTTATAATAGCATCAAAGCTGAAACTTTCACCTGGTTCAAATGTTTCTTCAAGATCTTCATAGCTTTGCTCAACACTCAACTCTTTGCCAACCTTTAGATCCTCCTACAAAACCATCAACAACCAAAATCAAACCATTTTGAACTCCAGCCACAAAGAACAGTGCAGTTCCTCGGGAATAAATCAAGGTTAGACTGTTGACGATAATTCCAATTATGACTAAGAGGATGATCTGTTTAGATATTTAGTTACATTCCAAAGAACGTGGACCATCAATACTAAGACCTTACTTAACAGGTTGGCTTCAGATCAATCCTCAGAAAGTATTATATCTAATGTGTTTCAATAAAAGCAAGCTCCGGTATCAATCCCTATCCAATAACTGCTAGACGAGGATTCTATTTATTGGATTTAAAATGTTGCCATCTAAAATAGAATCTACTGAGACACTTGAGCTTATGAAGTACCTGTTTAACGTAGTCTTCGATAGCAGAATTAATCAATTTCTTTATCACCTGCCTATAGACTTTAGAATATCCAAGGATCTCTAACAGAATATCTCTGGGTATCTGCAAATATAAGGAAAGGGGCACTTAAGCACAGGCCAAAGAACGACTCAATGAATGTAATTAAAGTGAGTTTGTCCGCATATAGTACACTGCAAGAACTATAAGAGTATCAGATAAAGTGCTTGGCGATCTTTTGCGGATAAGTCCAATCCCGTATGATAAAAACACAGGTTCTTTATCTTAATGCTAAATGGGTTCTCTAAAATACACTGAAGTAGAAACTTACATCTGGGGTCTTCCCTGGTGTTCCAAGGTTGATAAGCAGATGTAGAAGAGAAAACAAAACAGAAATGGGAAAAGCATTAGAGAGAGCACTCAAAGAATTTAGCTACTAGTTATCAGCAACAAATCATATTGACTACAAATCATATTAGCTAATAGAGTAACAAAGTTACAGAGTTTTGAAAAACATGCAATTCAACACTAAAGGAATAAAAGAAAGATTGCGCACTCATAGTAAGGTACAAAACACCAATAAATTTTCCTAAGCTTATGATCTATCCACAATATATAAAGAATGGATTGGGAGCCTAAATTAAGAGATCAAGTGTAACAGTGTAAGTTTTAAGCCCTTTCCTAATTGCTTATACTGTTATTTTTGATGTTGTACCTCCTTTAACTCTTCGGAACCCTGGAATTGGCTGAGCTGCAGCTACCATTTTCTCAAATACATGATTGAATACGGTTTGAGTCTTCTGTCCTGATACTTCTACATGCACCTGTTCAGCCAATAGGGAAGTTTTTTTTTTCTGTAATTTTGGAAGAGATATGTGGAATATAGATGTCACAATTCATCCTTGACACCCCTAACGTGCTTCGTTGCATAGAGAAAAAACAGCGTACCTTAACTTCGTTGCTGTTTGCAGTCTCCACTGTCGTGATCAAAAATGATTCATCCTTAGAAGAAGTCTCGACATCTGCAAAGAAGAGAAACACGTTTTCATGAGAAAGAGTAAAGCTAAAACAACAAAAAGGAGAGAATATAATTTCAAAGCTTGAACCTGATGCTCCTGCACAAACTGCGACAAACTGTTTATTCGTTGCTCTGTCAAAGAGTAAGAGAAGAAACATCAATGATCCAAGGAAGAAACTAGACATGGACTAAAACAATCGAATAAAATATGGTCCTAACACTCTTAGTAAACACATCAACGGTCTCACTCATTTATAACCTTTCAGTAGTCAATGAGACTAACATTTTGTTTAACCTCAATTTGCTCTGGAACAAGCTCATGCCTCTACTACTTTAGGTTGTAATGGAGAAAATCCAGAAGTAATATGGCAACATAGTTTCTCAAAATTTTACCTTGCACAGAATTTCGGTTGCACCGAATAAGTTGGAGGAAGAGTTACAAAGGAAGAAAGTTGAAATCTTGGTTTCGGGTCAATTATCTGCCAAAATCACATGGAAAATGTTGGTAAAAAAATTAGGCTTTTATGAATAATTGAAGACTTATACTAAAGAAGGCGGCCTTACGATAGCGTTGAAGCTACAAAATGCGAGATTGTGGATGATTGTCTGCATTATCAATCTTTGGAGTCGATTAGATGTTTCTTCTTTGGTGCCTTGTACTCTAATATGATTAACGAAGCAGGAAGAAGCAGATGTCAGAGACTCGGAGACGAAGCAGGAAGAAGAAGCAGAGGACTAAAGGATAAATTCGTGGTTCGATGTTTCTTGGCCCGGCCGGTCTGATTTACGGTTTAGTTTCGATTTAATTTTGGTTTTTTACGGTTTTCACTTGTTGAAACTAGAAACAAATCAAATTATCTGGTAATTAATTGGATAATTTGTCGCAGCTTTTATGATTCCCACACTGTCATCTCCACACTTAGGGTAATAATAAGATCAGTTCTGCTTTTAGAATGCAAATGAATAACCAAACTCATAACAACGAAGCAAGAGAGAAAAATGCTATACATGATGAGACTGAGAAGATATTACTACTACATATATTACCCTTACCCTGTTAACCAAACATATACAGAAGAGAGATACAAAATATGAGATTGCCATTGTTTTATCCAAAGTCCTCACCTGACTACCACCAAAAAGAAAAAGAAAAAAAAAACCTCCTAAATCTCATTTTAATGTCTCACAACACCATACAGAAGAAACACCCAAATGATTATGAGACGCAACGCTCCAAACGCACGGTAGCGAAACCCTGCAAAATCCATGTTGAAAACGCACGTCTTTTGAGTTCTGTTGTTCTTAACTTTGTTGGTTTTACTTACATGTGTTTGTAAGACTTGATATTACATTGCAAGGAAACTAGGCGTACCGTGATTTTTAAGAGTCTGAGATGTTGGCAAGGCAGGTAATGACATCTCTGCAGATTTAACGTAAACTGAATAAGAAAAACAAAACAAAAAAGGAACTCTTTTTGCAATCCAAAGTTTTCAGTTTTGTTTTTTTTTTTGGCAATGTCAAACAATGAGCAAGAAGAATAGGCAAAGAGGAAATGTTTACCAGGAGCACAGAGAGACAAAGAAGACATTGACGATGAAGATGGCCATGGCGCAGCTATGTTATCCGTCAAATCACATGTAAAACTGTACCCTGTTGTGTTGTCAAATATCAAGTCTGCGGGATAGCTTCTGAGAAGACAACCTATATTCACATTGTCACCACACAAAAATAAGATCATTAGACACTTTAACTCTACCTCTACGCGGCGAAACAACAAGACATATGAAACAACTTTGAATGATGAGATGAACTGATAAAAACCTTGTTGCATTCCATATGCTGCTCGCCCAAAGGCAATACCCAGGAAACAGAAAAAGAGAGATAATGTCAGGGAGAGGCAAAGACAATACAGTAAATTGGATGTTCTTTTTGGAGTATAGAACAGAGCAAATTACCTTGGACACTGAAATCTTTGAGATCGACATCACAAAGCTCATAGATATTTGTCATGACACCACCTTTCCGTAACATAGAACCGATGACTGTTGCACAGACTATGGCTTGCTTGTTTGTTATTAGCATTTGGTTTTGTATCCCAGAAATGTAAGCATTTAACGAGCTACAACAAGAAGGGCTTGGAGCAGCCACATTACGGCAAGCCTTGATCACTTGTGTTGGCTGCTTAATTTCCAAGGGGCAAGCTGTAACCACAACGTCAAGTCAAAATCATTTCCAAGACTATAGAGAAGAAAGATGAGGAAGGTCATATATGATACAGTTCAGTACCTTTGTTAACTTTGCAGGACGATAATATTCGAAATGCTGCGTTTGCTTTGTCTGCTGGGAGCTTCCTCGAAAGATATGAAAACACCACATTTTTGCAGTCGTTAATTGCGTTGACGTTATTTGATCCTCCTAAAGGGATCTTATCACCAACTGTCATTTGATGTCCTGAAACAATAAGCGCAGCTTCCATAATCGCAGCTTGGCAAATTGGCCTGCAACACTCCTTAAGAGGATCAACAGTGCGACAGGCATCCAGTAACTTGCTACTGTTAACAACTTTCTCGAACGTTGTGACATCTTGTACTGGACAAGAACCTCCAGTTAGATTTGACGATGTTACGGAGCAAAGTGCAGGTATTGTCATGTTGGCTCTTCTGCTGACCAGGATACTAACGATATCTGAAAAACAATCTGTAGCAACTGCATCAGGCAGAACCAACTTATCTGACTTCACGTTATGCTGGCCTTGGAAAATATGAAGTAGGCTAACAAACTGTGGACAACATATCACATTCCCAACAAGAGCAGCGAACGGTTGGGAACAATCAGATGCTGCTGTATCGATGACACTTGAAATTGCTTGAAAGTCTGCAGGACATTTCCCAGTTAACTTGGGTTCATATGTATCAGGGAAAGTAGGGTACATTGGTGGTGTCCAAGGTAAAGCAGGGGATGCATATTTTGGGATGACGGACGGCGATACTTCAATGGGACCGGATACTCCAATACCAGGAGGATTTGCCAACTCAGAGGTGGTTGATCTGCTACTGTGCTCATTAACGTTATAATGTGCAGCTACATCTTGGAAGCTCGATAACCAGATAATAAATAACAAGAAGCGATGCACCAAACAGCCTGATAAGAAAAGCAAGTTACCGATTAGCACATAAGTCTATCTATGTATGTATAACAGGAAATTAATCACAAAACCACGTAATGGCAATAAGAGAAGTTGAAAACTTGAAATCTAGTTGGAGAAATGGTCTCTCAAGCAATCAGAACTTTTCTTATGAGGTAAACCTGAAATTTGTGAAGTTACTGTTTGGGGAAAACATTACCATCATATAAAACTGCCAAACTCGTTCCAGCATCAACAAAAAAAAAATTCAAAATCAAAATCATTGCAGTGAGCTAGGGGAACCCAAAAACAGTAAACTAGTCTCGTGATTCTTGTTAGCAATGTGAAACAAACTAGAGTTAAAACTCACCATGAAAGAAAACAAAAACGGAATTTAAACTCAAAACTAGATGTTGTTTTGCATCCACGACACAAACTAGAGTTAAAAGTCACCATGGAAAGAAAAAACGGAAACTAAACTCACCCTTAAGCCAACAAACAGTCTCTAAAGAGCCCAAAGCTAACTTGCCCCGGGGCATTACTTAGTTTCATCAAAGGCACAATACGGTAGTCAGATAAAAAGCCATGGCCAGTACCAACGTTAGCAAAACACTCCTACTACCACCTTCAGAAGAAAGAATAAACCCATAAAAAAGTTAGTAACTTTCAACGAACCCATTCGAGACATATACGCAACAGTTTTGTCTAATAGATGCAGAAAAAAGGAAGTTAGATTGTTTTGTGAATCTTCTCCCTTATTTATGAGCTCTATTTTCTTTGCCAACCACATCATTCTATGCCTCTCTTATCATGAAACCAACGAAAATTTTGGGTCTTTTAAAGTATTCCTCCAACTAATTCTAACTTGACATAAAGAATTCAAGTTCCCACATTAAAACAAAAAAAGAAAACATAAAAGATTTTCTAAATCCTGTGTTCTTCCACCACATACTTTTGGCATCTAACACCCATATGCTTTTGTAGTCAAGAGCAAAGATAGATTCTCTTAGCTTTTTCGGATCCACCATAAACACACAAATGTTAAAAATTTCTGCTCTGCCCAGAAAAAGCAGAATCAACACAAGCCTTCTAAACTCCAAATTCTCCACACAAAAAAAAAAAAAATTACCACGCTCCAAAGTAAAAAGAAGAAAGAAAATACGCAGAGACTACAATTAGACAGACATTTATGACGCGAGAAACCATAAAAATTCTCGACTTGGAAGTGATTTCAATACTTTTGAATCCCTAATACGAGAAAGGGATAGCTAGACGAAGAAGAAGAATCAAGTGACGATACCTGTAAATTTCATCATCCCCGAAAATCAAACCATTTTTTTTCCGAGCAAAAAAAGTTGGTAGCTTAGGGAGATTTTCCCCGTCGTAATTGAAACCCTTGTCCTTCTTCTTCTTCCGAGAGAAAATAATCGATTAAAGGTGATGAATGAAGTTAGCACCAGACTGAGAGATGAATGAACCACACAAAAGGGAAAGCAAAAGAACTTGAGAGTTCTTCTTACTTTACCTTTCTCTGTCTCTCTCTCTTAACCCTTCACTGTGTTTATTTTTTCCTTCTTTCTATTTTCTTTTCATGAATTTTACTGTAATTAGGCATGGGCTTAAAAAAGCGATGACTCATCATCATCAAATCCATCATAATCTATTGATTTTTTCTTTTAATATACTTTTTCCAGATTTTTTTTCTTGTGTAAGAAAATTTACTAGAAATAGTGACAGACTGTTCAAGTTTCTATTAACTTAGAATAATTAAATAATTTACTAGGAGACACTATTCCTTGTCAATTATATTATAAAGCAATCAACTATCCCACAGAGAGAGTTGATGATATAAGATGCAGATAATCGACCAAAATTTGATTGATGTTGACTTTAAAGAGTATTATTTATGCTAAGGAATCCAAGACAAGGAACTAAACATCTGTTTAGTAGATTCGTTGAAAACGTTGCTTATTGTCCTTATTATGTGTTTGAAATTTGAGGTTGATTAATCACTATAATATTTTAATCTCATTTTTATTTATTTACATTATCTTTAATCTCTACAGAAAGAATCTGCTACTAACCCGAAAAAACCCGGGTTGGCTCCGATTGACATGGATACAGTGAGATTTATCCATGTCAGATCTAAGTTGTAAAAAGGAAGAAATTTACATGAATTCATAAAAAAAAGAAAGTTACCGAGACATCCAAATTAGTGAAAGCTACAAATATTACAAACGCACAAACTGGTGACAGATTCAACAAGTGACGCGTGAAATCATACTTAAACTAGTCCCCTTAAACTAGTAACAATTAACAAGAAAATAAAAACCAAATCTCTGATTACGACAAGAAGAAGATAATATAACCAAGGAAAAACAGCATCATCATCGAGGAAAAACGTCATTCAGCTAGCCAAATGGTTTGGGGAATTGTTGAACATACTGTGCCACATGTAAGCTCTTGACAAAACCATTTCGAGCTCTTGGTCTGTCCATGTATGTGTCGGAAGGTGTTGCAGGAACATTACCATCTCTTGAAAGTCTAGCTTCTTCAACTCATCCGACCACTGCATTTTTCACAACGCAACTCGTATATGATTATTCTCATGGTAAGAAACAGAAACAGTTACAAAACTGAACTTGAAGACTCTTTGAATGTTTCTTACTGTTAAGAGAAAGCTAGCATATATATACACTAGGAAGTCTGGCAATGCATCTCCTTCAGCAAGATAAGTGTCCCATAGGCGGTTAATGAGATTGAAAGGAATCTACAAAACTCGAAAGGTTTTTGTTAACAGAAAGTTCAAGTTGAGCCTAGTCTGAGAAACCGGTGTGGATATATAATATATGTATTAGTGGGAGTTAAGATGGTGTTTAACCTCACGAATCAGAAGACAGTTATACCACCGGAAAGCAAATTGAAGAAACTCCAGTCCTTGCTCCTCCATGTGTCTTGAAACAGGTTCTAGTACCAAAACAAGGCAAGGCAAATTGAGACAATGTTAACTCTACATCCTAAACAATTTTCCAGGGCTATATTGAAAGATACGTGGGTATCTATGAATCAATGTACTAGCAAATGTAGCATCAAACATCATGACAAGCCAATGACATCAACTCATCAAAAGATGATATTAACGCAACTATGCGGAAGTGTGATTAGAGGGGTATATGCATGTCATACGTTGTTCTGCTTAACCACCAAAGACACATCCAATTCTAAGATCAAGCAAAAGCAGGAACCTACCATCAATACGCCTGACCAATTCCTTTAGCTTAAACACAAGTCTCTGGATTCCAGGTTGAGCAAACGTGTAATGATCTTGCATACCATCAAGTAGCTTTGTTAAGCACCAGTAGCAATCTGCTTCTACATCTGAGACTTTTTCAGCAGATAGATCGGACATTGACCAACTGTCTACACCGCCATCTAGATATTCTGACAAGAATACAACAAGAAACGGAGTGACCAGATCATTTATTCCCTGAACATATCCGCTCGCTGGATGCCTAATGGCCCTACAAACTCAGGAAATAAAATTTTTAGATTCAGCTTTCAACATAACTTTCCAACTGATTGTTAAGTTGACTGAAGAACAACTATTATCACAGCCTACATTCTATAACTCACCACGTGTAAAGAATACGCTCCAATGATTTCTGCACCTGTGCTTGCTGAAAGAAACTGACGTCTGGTACAGTCCTTGGACAGTCAACAGCAATCTGAGAAAGAATACTGTTGCTAAGAGACTTCACCAACTTTTGAAGATTTTGTTAGAGAAGCACTGAAGCTACGAGGAATAACCTGGCGAAGCATATTGATCTCGTCATCAGAGCGTTCAGAATCTGGAAGGTCATAAAATTGGCCAACAGATTCAAGATATTCAAGACGTTTTCTTCTTAGAACAGCCTCCCTTCTATCTGAATTAGGTGGTGCATATCCCTGTTGTCAGTTTATATTTAAATTCATATAGTAAAAACAAACCAAAAAAGCAAAACTGTCTCCACAAAGAATGCTGATGGGAAGAGCTAATAACATAAATGCTCTGACTAGTGACTGAAATAAGCTAAACAGATATTTACAGAACATATTATGATGCTCAGTATATTAATTGAAATTGTTACATGAAAAACGTAACAAGATACTTGCACCATAGTAAAAGGAGAGTGCATATATCAGAAGAGGATAAACGGATTAAAATTCAAAATGATAAGAAGTTTAACATTTACTATTCTTATGTATGAAGTCCTAGAGCGTACCAAGAGAAGCCGCCAGACATCAGGCCGCATATAGTGTGGCACACCATTCCACGCTAGCTCGCGCAGTTTCTCTGCACGTCAGAAGAGGAAATTAACGAAGGCTTATCATATTAACCAGTGAACAGAAGATATAAGAAGATCAAAATGGTCTCTTTCATTGAGATGTACGTGGAAAAGCTTGAACACAAGGCCATGAATGAAACCTTGGCAAAATCTAATATTCATGTAGGATTCAACACCGAATCAGACTCTGCGAAACCGAGAATAGTAAATAAAGCAATACATCAAAAGGCAAAGTAGAGTACCTAAAATGACAGTTGTTTCTGAAAGAACTTTGTTGAACTTCATAACTCTAGCAGAGTCACTTGATCTAACACCTATCTTCATGTTTTGGACTTCTTTGGCAATCCTTTCACCGCTGGAGTTTGATCGTAGCTTACTAGCATATGTGTTATCATGTTTCTTGCTTGAACTGTGATCTTCCACCTGCATAAGCTCTCACTATTATTTTTTTTTACTTTCCCTTAATACAGAAGAAGAGAAAAAGCTCGACTCATTTACACAACTATACCTCAACGGGATTCTCCAAACGCTCATTTCTTCCGGCGTCATTCTCCGACAAGCTCCGGTGATATGTTGGAGAGATGGGTTCTTGTGGAGGATCCGGTCTCCTAGTCAACAATACTTTACCAGGAATACTCCTACCTTTAAGAAACCTAAAGCAGAAACAACCACAACACAGAGAAGATCAAAATCAACAACATTTCTGGACGATTCGAAATGATTCCTGATGAATTTCGAGATTCAAAGTAGCAAAACAAAGTTATAGATCTAAATACACGGATAGCAACACATCGAAATCAGAAAAAGGCAAGATCTGGTAGGAGAAAACATCTAAGTAAATTGATTGATTGATTGATTGATTACCCCTGGACGTTCTTGAGTGTTTGATTGAATCTGGAATCGTCGCGCTTCTGTTGCTCGTCTTCTCTCCGGTCCATAATTTTCTGATTCCGACGTTCAGCAGCAACACACAAGTGAACCCAGATAGTTTTGATTGAGAAATGGGAGAATTTGGGATCGATTGCTTTCCATCGATTTCACGGTCTAGTGGCAAAAAGCGATTGTGGGAAAAAGGTAATGACTAAAAACCATCTCAGCATAAAATTGTCAGTAATCGCAAAATGATGGATTTTTTCCCGGCGTAAATCACACAGCATGAAATGAATTTAGTTTTGGGCTCTGTGACTTTATTTGATATGGTTTGGGTAAATTTTTAACGAGTCAATTATTAAAAGTATGAAAACATCACACAACACAACTCACCCCAACATATGATTTGTTTTTCCTTTTATTAGAAAATAGCCTGAAAAAACAAAAAGTATTGAAGTGTAGGTTAATTAGAAGCAGAAGTCTGTATGCAAATGTTACATGAGTACATTTATCAATTGGTTGACAAAGTATTAGATGTTTCCTTTCATAAGCTAAGAATAAGTCAGTCTCAGATAAACCTTTCTCTCGCATGTTAAGTTAAGTGCAAGTTGAGAGAGCTAAAGAGAAAAGAATGATCACATGAGTCTCCTTTTTTAAAATTCTGATTCATATTTAGTCACACCTAAAAAATCGACGGTTCAAATGAGGCGATCAAGGCAATGAGACTGGTCTCTCTGCGTCCATGCGCTCTATCACTCTTCTAGCTTCTTCTTCAGTTGCTGGAACCACATTCCTTATTCTTAATCCATCTTTCATGGCTTCGGGTCTGACACTGAAGGTGAAGTAGAACTTGTTGGAGACCTACCACACAAAAATTACATCACCATCACAACTTAACTTGTAATGTACATAGCTCCAACTTTATTTAAAGTTATCTGTGTACACTTACTTCGCTTGACCTGAGCTCTGGACTTGTAACATGAGCTATAACCTCGATGTTTATCAACGGTTCAGCTGAATTGTTAGCTTCTGTGTAGAGTACGCGTGATTTGAAACGAAGGAAGTTTCCAACATCCACCTGCACCACCAGAAACAACAATCCCTCAATCGATTTCTTCTATGGCTACCATATATATATGAAAAGATGAGAAGGAAATAGACTCACTGGTTTGATAAAATCGACGCGGTCAACTTCAAGAAAACGTGGTGAAACCCCAGCGAAGGTGTAAGCATTGGAGAAGGCGAGCTCAAAAGCCTTGCGCATCAAGAAGCCTCCAAATATTCTACCATGAATATTCCGTTGCTGTGGCTGACATATCAATGAGTTTTCATGGCAAGTATCCTTAATTAGGATGCTGTCCCGGTCTGCAAGAGCAGGCATGTCCTGGAAAACTCGTCCTTCCGCTAATAACTCATTTAGCCTCTCTAAGTCTTTCAGCTTCTCATGCTCTTCTTTACTTTCTGCTCTCTTTTGTTTTCGTAGTTTGTTCCTCTCTTCTGCTTCTTTCCACAGCAATTTTTCATGTTCAGTTTCTGGCGTGACCTGGTTTATTGGAGTTGACTTGCCTGTCTTGGCATCTCGAGCCACGAAAGTAAAGTTTGCTTCAAGAGCAACCGACTCAGAGGGGTTGTTGGCATCTGCAATAGAAGATTCAGCAACGCAACAGGTCATTCAATGTGACGAGAATGATAATTGGTTGGCTTTATCGAAGTTTGAAAGGGGAAAAAACCTTAATTTCATTGCGTGAACACAGAGATATCAGTGAATTTAAAAACTGCCATGAAAGTTATGTTTGTTACATTGATGACAGTAAGCTGTCTACTTGAAAACATAGATATAGTTCAAATTCAATAAAAATCTCACAACTAGCATTTGCTTCACCTATGTGCGTTTATACCACCTAAATTACCATTTCAAGCATAAAACCCAACATAACAAATGTAATTTCGAATTCGATCAGACTTTTTACTTACTTTTGCTAGCAGAATCAAAACACCAACTATCCGTGTGTCTAACATCTATGTAGGTTACCATGTTCGTCATTACAGATAAAATATTTCCGTAAAAGCCATTTGAGACAGAGAAGTTTTCAGGAACCTTGGCTTTGTATTACTTGTAACTTCATCTCCATGGATGATCTTCCAACCCATGTAACAGCGCCTACTATACTGAGTTCAGCATCCACACGAATGGGTCTTTTCATGATAATCCTATCCACAGAAGCAGTCACCAAAATCATTGATCTCGCACTGCCATCGCCGCTGCTACAATGCTATTGAGAGAGAAACAAAAAAAAAAGCAATACAAAGCTCAAGCTCCCAGTTACTCAGGATTACAATCAAACATGGAAAAATGATACTAGAGAAGGAACACAATTGAAGAACAAGAGAGCCAAAATAAAGAGGCTCTTCACTAAAGTCTCAAAGGCTCGTCATCACACTAAGCATGAAACTATCAAAGCTAATATTCAGCAGGTGGAGGCGTTAGATGTGATTCTAAGTGATAAAACACCAGGACAAAGAACACGATCAGAGTGAGTAAGAACCTTGAAGGAGATAGTTCCGGCGAGAGCGTCAAGATCTTCAACCAATTTACCCGTACGAATCTCGTTCCAAGGATTCCTGTACTGCTCGCGAAGCACGAAATCAGAAGAAAACTTGTAGAGAATGGATGTACGGCTCCGAGACGGAGACTTTGCCGCCAATTCCGACTGGGAATCGTCTCCGGTAGGGTTTTCGAACATCTTGCGTCTGGCTTCCCAAAGCGCGTTGGTCACCGGAGAATGGTACATTCCAGGCCACAAGCTGGCTGGTTTCCGCATGGACGATCCTGCATCGATCGGAGTTTCATCTGGCGGCGGCACCACCGTGGAATTCCACACCACCTGAGAATCGCACGACCTCGACGCCGGAATCCAAAATCCGGCAACAGTTTTCCCGCGGTTTCTCCGTAGAGAGTGCGAGATAAGCTTTCCCGGTGACGATCTCATGGATCTACGATGGATTTCGGGAGATGGAATTTTCGTTTTCCTCTCTCCCTTTTCAAAATTTCATCATCATGTGTGTTTGTAACTTTATAATCACACTAAAGAGTGGTTTATTCTTCCTCTTTGTGCGTAAGCTAATCTTGATTTATGAATAAATGGAATTAACACAAAATCTCACAAACACACATTAAAGTAATATTTTTTCATTCAAAAGAGCAAACGTGCAAACACACAAGCAAAGCTAATATCGAGTATTACTTTGTTGACCAAACAAAAGATATATAAAAGAAACATTTGTTAGCTTGTTTTGATGAAAATGCACAAAGTTTAGGTAGATACAAAGCAAATTTGAAAATACTCGTAAGAAAAAATAGATTGAAGATCAAAACTGGATGCCATAAAATTCGGCTAATTTCATCTTCATTTCATTTAAGTCTTTTTTAGTTTGGTCATTCTTTTTAGAGCTTGTAAAGATCGTCAAAAAAATGTTTTCATGTTTTGTGTATCATCAAGTTCAGTTATTTTCTTTTTAAAGGGTGTTTATCTCCAAAATTTTATAAATTCATCAGTTTAATCTCCAGAAAAAATTGTATCCCTCTCAGCTTTGTATAACATAATGTTTGAATAATCAATAAAATCTATAGATATTAAAAAGAATAACTGAAAAAATACTCTAGAGTGATCTAAGAAGTCATAGAATCGAATGGTAGTTAGAAGAAATCAATTGTTAAGTTGTTAAAAACTAATCTAAGTGTAGAAATTAGAAAATACTTATAAGAGTTTTGATAGTTAAGAAAAAAAGAACTAAAAATAAAATAAAACTTCTATAAATTATTTAAAGATTTAATTTAAATTATGTATAAGTAAGATCATAGTACACGTAATTATAATCATAATATAGAATATTAAACTAAATGGTTCACGGTTTCACCCATTACTCATTTCACAAAGTATTGGTTAACCACTTAGTTTTCAGAGTAAGTGTGATTGTACTTGTACACATTATCAAATTTTGCTAGTAGCGCTTCTCAAATAGTGACAATGTAATTTATAAAACATTAAATTTAAAGGTGGTATTAAGAATTAAGAATTAATCTTTAGTTTAATGTGATATATAATACAAATTTATATACTTTGGTATACTGAGATGATGGAAAACTTTATAATGTTTAGGCATATTACAATTTTATAAAAATTGTTATCTTAACTTATTTTATACGGATTAGGTTACAGATCTGGAATTTAAAAATTGGGGGATTTTTGTCCTTTATAAAAGTTTTCAATAATCAAAAACACAACAGAGCAAAGGAAAATGAGTGATTGATTGGGTTCAATTATATGAAAATAAAAATGAATAGAAAAGTAAAAAATCATTAACTTGAAAAGAAATTAAAAAGAAGAAAAAGCCAAAGGAGAAAAGTCGGCTTTCCTTTTGGTTTGCCTTCCCCGCGTTTGCCCATCTGTCGTCTCTCTCTCTACCTCTCTCTCTCTCTCCGTCTTCATCAAGCAAAGCTCCTCCTTCTCCACTCACTCCTCTCTCTCTCTCTCTCTCGCTCATCTTACATAGAGACAGAGGAGACAATCATACGCAGCGATCCCCTAGAAGAGATCTACACAAGTCTCAGCTTAACCACGTTTTGGGAATCGGTAAAGAAATTTCCTTTTGATTTTGTTTCTTTCTGTGTTTGGATTTGGGATCAATTCTCTCGATTTTCTACTCTTTTAAGGCTTCTTCCAGTCGACCCATCTTTGATCTCCTTACTTAGATTTCAAGATTCTCGATTCGATTTCGTTTCTGTCCCCGTTTGAAGATTTTCGTTTCGAGCGCTGTTCTCAGTTTATAAAGTTTTCGATTTGAGCTTAAAATTCGAGTAGATTTCTCGTCTCAGTAACGTATCTGATTTAAATTATTTTTCTAGGTCTGTTTCCTGGTAATTTGTGATCTTTGATTCCCTTATTATTATTTTTTTTTCAATTTCGCTAAGTAGTTGACTATTCCCGACCTTATCTGTCGGCAAACTTTTGTCCCTTTCTGATTGCAATCTCTCTGCTGGAATTGTATTAAGTAAATGTTCGCTTAATAGAATGAGGATTTGTTGATTGAGAATTGCAATTTTCTTTTCTATGAATCTAGAGTTACCACCACATTGTTCTAAAAGCTGTGCTTTGTCAAAATTGCAAATGCGGTTCAGATTCCAGTTTCTGGTATGCCTGGTTTTGGCTTCAAAAATTTGCTTTGTAAAGACCATTTGAAAAATGTTACTGTGATATGTTAGATTGTTCCAATAAGTAGGAGTGATATTTTCCCTACTTACAATTTTGGAAGCACTTATGAGTTCCTTCACTTGTGTTCATTTTGTTGGGATTAAGTACTGTCCTTTGTAATCGTAGTGTCATTTTATATTACATTTCGAATGCCTCTGCGATGGCAGCAACAGCTGCGTTTCTTAGAACTTTGTCCTAGTTATGCTGGGACTGGTCTAGATATTGCTGTTAGGAATCTGTATGGTCAGTTGGTCACGAACTAGTATAAGATAGTTTCTTTTATGCATCCATAATCAGTTGGTTTGAACGGTTTCAGGAACTAAAAGCGGCGAGAGTCTATAATTGAAGAAGAGAACAAGGATGCGCAGGTGGATCTGTTGTGGACGTAAAACAGGAGATTCAGATTTGTCAAATAATGAGGAACATGTAAAAACTCAATGGCAGCAATCTGATGGTATGTTGCCGAAAAGAGTTTTCCCTTAAGTTACTGAAATTTCCTGTCTATTGTGATCTATTACGAATAGATTCTAGTGCTATTGTTTGCATGTTCGAGGCTTAAGCTTTCAGGATTTGTATATAGTAATGATATTTGCCCACATAAGGGATTAGGAGTTGACTGTTTTGAAGGAGGGAACTTGAAACTTTTGATGAATATCTTGGTATGTTTCTAATAAAGGATACTTTATTTTTTTGTCACTCGCTTGTAGCAAATCATAAGAATTCAAAACCACAAGCTGTTACGAAACCTGAGGTGCAGAAGGAAGCTCTTCCCATTGAGGTTCCTCCCTTGTCTGTGGATGAGGTTAAAGAAAAGACTGACAACTTTGGATCAAAGTCACTGATTGGTGAGGGATCTTATGGAAGGGTATATTATGCAACTCTAAGTGATGGGAAAGCAGTTGCTTTGAAAAAACTTGATGTTGCTCCTGAAGCTGAAACAAATGCCGAGTTCTTGAGTCAGGTTATAATTTTTGCTTCGATCCTCCTTCCCTTCTTTGTCTTCAGGAAACTTGTTTTTTTACATCCTCTTGCTTGCTTCTGCGTAGGTTTCCATGGTTTCAAGACTGAAGCATGAGAATCTCATTCAACTGGTCGGTTATTGTGTTGATGAAAACCTTCGTGTTCTTGCTTATGAGTTTGCAACCATGGGATCACTGCACGACGTTCTTCATGGTATGATGAGCTTGCCCACCCATTCTTGTTAAAAAAACTTTCTTGGTTGGGAAAAAAATATGAAATAGAATCGATTTATCCATGGGTGTTGAAATATGCTATTATTACAGGTAGGAAGGGAGTTCAAGGTGCACAGCCAGGTCCAACACTTGACTGGATAACGAGGGTGAAAATAGCCGTTGAGGCAGCTAGGGGTTTAGAATACCTTCATGAGAAGGTTCAGCCTCCTGTAATTCATAGAGACATAAGATCTAGCAATGTGCTTCTTTTTGAAGACTACCAAGCAAAAGTTGCTGATTTTAATCTCTCAAATCAAGCTCCTGATAATGCTGCTCGTCTTCACTCTACAAGAGTCTTGGGCACCTTTGGCTATCATGCTCCAGAGTAATGTTCCTTAAAACCTTAAAGAATTGTTGCATTCTAGTATGTAATGTAAGTATGAACGAGGCAGCTGAGACGTGTCTCTTCCCATTTGCAGATATGCCATGACTGGACAGTTGACGCAGAAGAGTGACGTGTATAGCTTTGGGGTTGTACTTCTAGAGCTTTTGACAGGGAGGAAACCTGTGGATCATACAATGCCACGTGGCCAACAAAGTCTTGTAACCTGGGTATGTTTATTATCTGCTTCCTGTGCAAATCTATATCCTGCTGTATTCCTGTCTTAGGATTTGGCATGTTTCCCTATATTGTTCAGGCTACACCAAGACTCAGTGAAGATAAAGTGAAGCAGTGTGTTGATCCAAAGCTAAAAGGAGAATATCCTCCTAAATCAGTAGCCAAGGTACTTACATTCATCCAATGAGTATCCAAATATCTGAAATTTGGGAAAACAACTCAGAAATTTTTATCTCATGGCCCTTTTAATCCCAATGTTTCATCTAAAATTTTCATGAATCTGTAATTTGGTAACGCAGCTAGCAGCGGTGGCAGCATTGTGTGTGCAATACGAATCTGAATTTAGACCGAATATGAGTATAGTTGTGAAAGCTTTGCAGCCACTTCTCAAAGCTCCAGCGCCAGCGCCAGCACCTGAATCATGAGTTTGCACTCCTTTTAGATACCACTGGGGCATCTACAGAGTTGGATTCTTTGTTCATACAAATGAGAATTTGTTCCTCTGATTTGGGAAAGAAGAAACAGAAAGTATGAGATCATATTTTGTGTTGTTTTTTTTAGGGGATTATATTATTTTTTGTGTTGGCATTTTGGTGTGAACGGAGGATATTTTGCATTTGTTATGTCAGTATTGGAAACAGGCTTTTTGTTTTGCTTGGCGTGGAGAACAAATTTGTATTGCATTTGCTGTTCTTTCGTTTTTTATTTCCTTATCGATAATAATTTGAGTATTGGTTAGACTACATCATATATTGACAACTCTTTTTAAGGTATTCTGATTAGGGATTGAGAATCGCTTTTTTGGCGGCAAAGAGCTGCCTTTTACTAAAATCGTTGATGAAAAATTTTGTAGCAAAGACATGCAAAACAAGCTTAGAACTTTGAAGAGTAGGTATTACATAGTGGCAACAACGAAAAAGAGGAGATCAAAAAGTTAAGATGATTTCATATTATATGTTTCTTCAACCTAGCTCTGTGAATCCTACTTATGAATCCAGTCAAAATGCTTCTACTTTTTCTTTGAACTACGTTTTTCAAAAATTATTTTATCATAATGTTTATCATTATTACGAACACGATTACCAGGATTGCGACAACGATGAGAGCTACAAAAATAATCTTATATGTTTTAATGCTTTATACTACTGCATCCAAGCAATATCTATGAATATATATATATATATATATATATATTTGTCAAAAGCTTTTCGAGAAGTATTCCTCAATAGGCCTAGCTAGTACGCTTGCAACAAAGATCACCGTCAAAAGAATCATGATTAGTAGCACCGGCGTCACGAATCCGATGATTATTGAACGCTCCTTAATTATATGATCAAATCAATTATGCTATCCTAGCTACATTGAAAAAAGGGAAATTTGGTGGCATAGCGACACGAACTATTTAGGTGTCTGAAAACTAAATTTTTTATGGTGTGGAAAGTACTATAAATCCCCTCAGTTCTTTTCTGTTCTAACATCTCTTGAGAATGATAACATATACGTTTTTACATTTTCATTTTCTCTAACAGTTTTCTCTTTCATCAACTTTAATTCAAATTACTTTCCCACACCTTTATAGTCAAGCTTAGGTCTTAGAAATTCATGAATTTCTAAATACTGCTATCACACCAATATCCTCTCTTCTCTTATTTCGGCGACTATCCATCTTGCTTCCCCGTTTCCGTCAAGATCAACCGGAATTTGACACGGCGAATCTTTATATTACCGCCGTTTAAAGCTCCGAACATGGTGGACAAATCTTGTGAACCACCGCCTTTTTCATCCGCAGCGAATATTGAAAGGTACATGTTTAGTCGTTGACACATCTACTTCAACTCTGTTATTGTTTCGTAATTTGAATGTTATCTGATTTTACTCGCAGTTACCCGCATACATCGTCGTTAATTTCCAGGATCTAGAATTTTTTCTCAGCTAGATTTCTCGTTATTCTTCCTCTTTTTGGACACATAAACGTTTGTCTCATAATCCATTTCTAGTGATTCATGATTTTGGTATTTTTTACCAGCCCACTCTCATTCTCATCCGTCTTATAAATATCCAGATCTACGCTTTCAGATCTGAGTAGTCGACATCCGTCTTAACAGTTCCGTCATTTTTTTGTTGTTATTGATATCTGGTTCTCTTGATTTTGTAGATTTAGAATAGTTAACTATTTTTTTATGCATACTGAGTAAATAGTAATTACATTGAATATAATCATTAATAATCGTTTACTCTTATCATCTATAACACATACAATAAATAACTACTCTGTATTCAGTTAGTCTACATAACTACTATGCACATATAACCAACTACCAATATAGCTATGGGTAGTTAACTATGTTATAACAATAGCTAACTTTTTGCCATTTTTCCTTTGTAGGGATATGTGTTCTCTTCGACAATGTGAACCCACACTGTTTGCAAATAATGTGCTTCTCCAGATTCGCGATGCACTCGTTGATGTCTTTGTAAGGGTTGCTTGATATTCTGCAAATGATGCTTGTTCATTTGCTTGTTCATGTAAGGTTTTAAACAAAACATTCAAGGAATCATCTCTCATCAAGGCGCTCAACCTATCTGCCTTCATTAAACAATTCAACTTAATGAAGCGCTACCTTGAATTATTTGAGTCAGCGAAAATGGATAACTACCAATAATTGACTTTGAGTAGTAGCTATCTAATCTAAATAGACAATTATTAATACTTACTTAAGTATTAGAATCAACTTAGAGTTTATGGAGAAATTAGACAACTACTACTAATCGATTCGGAGTACTAGCTATCTAATCGAAATATGTTACAAAGTAGTCAACGTCTCGGTGTCATTCAAACGAACCTTCATTTTAAACATAGTCACCTACTAGTAGTCGTCTACTAGAAATATATGAACACAACAAACAAAAGAATTAGAATTAAAAGGGACGTCTATACTGAAGTGATACATGACTAGTTGGTATATGTCTATTTATTTTCAACTTGGTGCAACTATAGAAAGTATCGTCCAAAATTTCTCACACTTTCAGAGTGAGAGAATGTTTGTCTGAGGGGGATACAACTTTTTATGAAAATAGTTGTCTACTACATATCCAGATACTCTGAGCTAATGATTTTCTATGAAAATAGTCAATTGTGGCTATAAAGTTACCATTGTGACACCTTCCAAGACACCTGGTACAAAGCTTTGCCGTATTCCTCAAATTTCTCTGTGTCATTCAAACGAATTGGACCAACCACATTTCTACCACAAAGTAGTCAACTATGACTCATTATAAAAAGCTCACTATATTACAAACACTAAATAGTTGACTATGTTACCTTCATTTCTCCTCTGGATGAGAACTTTATTTTCTTTGGTCAACCATCTGGTCAGCGTATAAATGGAGGAAGTAGTTCTGAGACACCATAACATACATGAGTTGGTACGAGGTGGAATGATCTTTCATAAAGGGATCTCCAAAATCTAGTTTGTTTCTCTAGATACACCTCTCCCATTGGCTTCTCGTTTGCAAAGAAGAAGTTACCGATAACTTGATATGTACACCTCTCCCATTTTTCTGTTGTAAACTTCATACTCATCGTGGCCAACAACAACTACCTACATTTTAAACATAGTCATCTATTTGTAGTCGTCTACTATAAAAATATGAACACAACAAACAAAAAAAATAAAATTGAATAGAATGTCTATACTGAAGTGATATGTGACTACTTGGTATATGTTTATTTACTTTCAACTTGATGCAACCATAGAAAATATCGTCCATAATGTCTCATAGTTTTAGAATGAGAAGATGTTCATCTGAGGCGGATACAACTTCTTTATGAAAATAGTCGTCTACTACATAACTGCATATTCTGAACAAATATTTTTTATGAAAATAGTCAATTATTCCATAGAGCTATCTTAGATTTTAAATGATACGAGCAAAAAGACACCGTGTATAATTTCTTGAGAAAATACGAACCATAACGCTAAAAATCAGAAACTTGAATGTTTGGTTCATGGGTGTTGTGTTAGTGGCTATTTATCTGATCCACAAAGGTCTCCTTGAAATTAACATATTCGTACACGTAATACTAGACGACAACAACGTTTAAAATTTGCTAAAGTAACAATAAAGTTTATGCTGTTATTGTTCCAAAAGCAGATAACGTCTGTGTCTTGATAAGTTGGTGTGGTCCCAACCTTAGTCAGAAAAAGTAATATCTAGATTTAGAGAATAAGGGGTGTAATGTCATTTCCACATACCTTTTTTCGTTGACTTATGCTATCCACTTAATTGACTGATTTCCTATGTTAGTTACTTAATTTATTTTCTCAGAAATAATATTGATGCAAATCACCCTTGAAAAAAAGACCTAACTCGTCCAAGCACTTTTTGAAAACTGTCAAAAGTTTTAATGGAGCGACTCAACCATTTGGACACAACCTTTTTTTCTGCAATTTTCTGTATCGCTTATCCAAAAGTGTTATAGCACCATAATCATGCATGTAGACTCTCTCAAATAAGTTTATTGAATCTGGTGTATTTATAATTATAAGAGTTTTTTAGTCCGACTTTAATATCCCTCACGTTTAGAAATGGAGCACCAACACTAATCACTGTTTTTGCTTTGTCATCGGGAAAGTCCATGTTTTCTGCAATTTTTCTTCTCCATTGTCCAATTTTTTTCCAACATCTGCAGAGTGTATCCATCAATGTATAGCTAGGAAGAGACTAGAGGGCTACATGGTACAATATAATCCACCAATTTTATTTCAAGTTTTTTCTTAAAGCAATGTAGAATGAATGTTCATGGATATTTTTAAAGTATTTAAAAGTTAATTACAAGCACCATTAAAGATTGCATCCTCTACTCCCCGTTCTCTGATCTCAACATTGCCTGTCCAAAGCAATATGTGGGACTGAAGGGGTTGCGCAGAGTACGAGCCATGGATTCGCAGTGTGATGACGAAAGAACAAAAGCTTTTCTGTTATAGGCAAAAATGGAATGGCGATGAGAGCACTGTATACTCTGCATATAAATAATAATATAGCGCGACTCTATTAATTATTATTGATCTTTTTTTCTCTCTTTTTATTTTCTTAGGTTAGCATCCACTTTTGTGTTCTTAAGTTATCTCAATTATTGTATGATAATTATCAATTATATGTTTACCCTCTAAATATAGAGAAAAATAGTTTAAAAAATAAAAATCTAGGTTCATTTATCATTTAAGAAAATCAAAATAAAATATAGGGTTTATGGGAAAAAACCAACCCATACAAAAATAGATATAAGTACAGTAATTGAGATACTAAAATTAAAATTGAAAAATAGGGAATCCAACAAGAATTCTGTACCAGATGACGAAAAAATGGTAGATAAATTTGACGAAGCTCTCGTAAATGTTAATCTCAATTATATTGTGAGACGAGTTATTTTCTAAGGCTAAGAATGTCCATATCATGTCTTGCCAAAATGGATAAAGTTCCACTTCTATTCTTAAAAACATTCTTAAAACATTAGAAGAAACAGAAACATGTCTAAAAAAACAATTTGCACAAAATATACACAATATGCATATGTGATCTAGATCCAAAATATATGTAAAATTATATCATATCACATCATCCAAAACTTGTTTGGCATCCTAATTAATCCATATTGAGCGTAAGAAAATGTCAACACCAAGAGATATTAAATTTGATAAA